TTTTACGCGCATCTTATACATTAGTGCAACTACGCCTGGAGTGTTATCACAACATATGCTCCTTACCTACAAGGCCACACAGGAAAATATTAATTTCAAAAAAGCTTAAAACTTAAATTTACAAAAATTAAATGAAATTATAAAATAAATAAAACAACAAAAGTGATTTTTTCTATAATACATGTCTATTTCTAAGCAATTTTATGCTGAGTAATTGTTAGATGTTGCATTTGTATAAACACTTGGTATGGCGCAGAATGTGCGCAGTGTGTCTTTGCGTTAAAGTAAAATAACTTGAAAAACGCTCGCCGATATCAATTGAGAAACGTTCGCGTGGAACGCGAGGCACGTTAAGTTCTTGTTGCAGCGACGATGCGCGCGAAATCGCGCTGCGGTGATATAAATAAAGAATTAATTACGAACAACTACTACCTGACATTCTCTTAACGCTCGCAATAACTTAACGACATCGACGATAAATTTTCAATATGCGCGCGCGCGCGTACACACACGCATAAGTCTTACGCATCGCGACATCGCATGCAAATTCTCGCATGGCGAGGTAACGCCAGCCTCCGGTGTGTGCGCCAACTAGTTCACCAACCACGTGCAGTGCGTTTGTTTGGGGCACTCGTAATGGACGTGCTTAGATCAGCGATCGGACATCGTTTAGTTTGCATAATTGAATATACTGAACGAACGATGAAATTAAATTTACTTAAATTAATTACTTACTTTAATAGAAATGGTGAAATAGTTATCGTGAGTAATATTGATTTATTTATTAACTTTAAATTCACCTGTCTACTTTCAAATTAAACTATATTTAGTATAACATAAGTAATATTGTTAATGTAAATATGAGTTTGTTTGTTTGTGACGCTTTCAAACAAAATCCACTGAACCAATTTTGTTAAATTTTAATATAGAGATGTGTTGAACCTATGAGAATAACATAGGATACTTTTTGTCGCAAAAATATAACCTGATGGGTGTAAAATAAGGGTTCAATATTAGTATGGAGATTTTCAATCATTATTATAGTTATATCAACTTTTAACCGAGATTTCGTCCCGGTAGTGTTTTATAAAAATGTAATTTGTTTTTACTCTCTTGTTCTAGGCATAGTATGTGTCAATTCTATCAATAAGATTCGCAATTTTATTTTAAAGAAATTAATTATATAAAGAATTGCTAATAATGCACTTCAGCGTGCCATCTCGGATTCATCTATTTAACTATAAGTATGATTGAATCTCAATGCCAACTTTTATCCTATAGAAAAGGGCTGTCTTTTGGGTTTTCTCGGCAATTATTCGAATTTTTCTCGCCGTAAAAACCATCCTTGGGCTTTAACGAACATTTAAAAAAAATAATTGACCAAATTGGTCAAGGCGTTGTTGAGTTATGCGCTTACCAACAGATTCTGCGATTCATTTTTATATTATAGATTACATTGTATCATAAATTTGTTATGTCACCTTGTATAACTTTTATTTACTTGCACTTCACCTTATATTCATTGAATATTAATATTGAAAATATGAACCGATAAAATATTAGCATTAACATTTGCACACGCGAAACGAATGATCGTGTAATGATACCTACATGGAATCTATAATCGTAGAACTCTAAGGCCTGATAATATCGGTGCAAGGCTTAAATTAACTTTTAATTGAATTACATAAATTATAATCGCCGAACAAGTGCATGCGCGAGTGAGATATATAGAATCAGGAAATTGTTCCCCTGCGACGCGTTACATATTTACAGCTGTGTTCTGCGCGGAAATATTTTATTACGTAACGATGCAAGTGGTTATAATGTCACGCAGTTTTTCGCCTCTAATCGAGCATAGCGCGCGTTCTTTTCAAAGGTTCGTGCGCACTGTTTATGCATTCGCAAACAGGAACACTGAATGGAAGCACAACAAGCAGAATATGTTTATAACCTTTACATGGATAAATGTTATAAATATTCAGATTATGTTTTTGTCAGAAAGGAATATTTTGTGGGCATAATCTGTTATTATATAAGTATTATAATCCCTATATATTAAACAAATAAGAACGTTTGGGCATATTTTGATGATTTGATCTCCGGCGCCTCGAATGGCAGAATAAATATTAAAACCTAAAAAATTATGACTTAAAAGGTGATAAATAAGGGATGCAAATTGGTATGAAGATTAAATCATAGTTATAGCTAAATAATTGAATCCTAGATGGCGCAAAAATGCGTTATTAGCATTTTTTATTCCTTGAAAATAAAAATTCATTAGAAAATAAAAATTGCAAATTAATTTTATTCATGGAATCGACTTGAATAAAAAAGTAAAATTTCATTTCATTTTTACTAAAAACTACGAGGACGGAAGTCGTGGGCAAAAATAAAGTTTCGCAAAGTTAGAAATCAACAAAAGAATCATTCTTTTACGTATGCAACTTAATACACACCGTGAATGAGATCATGTGTGGAATTCAATAATCAATTAATTATTTTAAAGTGATATCGGGAATTAAATTATATATTGACGTAGTTAATATTAGTAGGTTACATTTATTTACTTATTATTTTAACTATTGAATTACTACTACTGATGTTGGCGTTGATGTAGGAAGCGGTGCGGATGACTGCGTTTTCATTTATGTTATTTCTAATTGTTGTTCATGATCAGTTCCCGGGACCGCAGGGAAATCACTAATTAATGGAGCAATACGTATATTAGTAGGTCAGCTATTAGGTGACTCTGGCCAAGCGTTGGCAGTTTACATTTGGAGCGCTGCCTGGGGCGGCGCATTTTAGAGGGTCAACGAAGTTCAATTGACTTATATTGTGATGCTGCCATGTCGGCATGTATACTGCTGATTTATTTCAGAATAAAATATCGAAATACTGTTCTAAAACTATTTTTTCTAAGGTCGTTTCACATGGGAAATATAGTAGAATTACTAGTAGAATAAAACTTTATCATTATTATTTGTTTAGTGCTTATTCTAAGGTTTGCAAATTATTTTCGCAATAGTATTCGTGGTAATTTCATAGCAGCCTTTTTGAAACGCCTCATACTAAGTTATTTTTTGATTTATTTCAGTCAATTTGTAAAAATCATTAAATAAATAAGCGAAGTTGCTTCGTAATGTATTTCTTTACTTCTCGTCCTTTTGTTGTCTGTACCTTCTGTACTTTGTTCCATTGAGTAAGTTATTTGTCAGAATTCTTTCTGCGTGAATTTTTTGCCTTTGAATGAAGGTGCTCATCTTCATGCTTCTCTTAATCGTCGTTATGCGTCGTAATCTCATGGAACTCGTCAAGGTCACGTCGTAAACTTCTATTACGACTCGCAGGCGCAAGACGCACGACGCGGTGTTGTCGTGACGCTTTAATCAAAGAAAAGGAACCAAAGGAAGCTATTATCGCATAAAAAATGATAATTGCGCATTAAAAAAAAAGACAAACGCTTTCAAAATGTGTTTGGCACGTTCGTGATGTACGTGAATGCCATAATAAAGCGATTTCGGACAAATTATCTTCTAATCAGTGAACGTTTCAAGAATAATAAAATCTTACAGTCACACGTGTATATAATGTTGATGTTATATTCTATTGTAAATTTTCTACAGAGCATGAAAACATTTTTTTTCGATAAAATAAGTTACAATATGACTGAAAATTATTTAGTTTGATATAAACATAATTGAAATACAAGGGTTTTTGCTTCCGCAGTTTAAATAAAAGTTATTAAGTGTTTGAATGTTGGTTTTGGTTTGTAAATTTGAGTTTGTGTAGCCCATGCTGTAGCTTGGGTTGCCTATAGTTTGCATAACATACTCTATTTTGTAATATGAATAAAAATAAAATAATGCGGATGGCGATGGACTGAAAATACTAATTCATTCAGAAAATAAATAATTTCTGTTTACTTTGTATAAAGCTGTTTTATTTATTTTTATAACGTACCTACCTATGTGTCGACATAAACAAAAATACTTGGAAAATTACGAAATTTTTAAATTTCTTTATGTACTTTATGCTGTTAGTCTCTAGTGTAACTGTGCAATAATTAATGACTGGATTTACTTAGAATTAAGAAATACAATATAATTTAATTGCCGCAACATGTGCGTTGTTGGCTTCTATAGAAGCCCAAAAATGTTTTCTTTTTTCTTTCATAAATTTTTATTCACTTTTGCTTTTGATTATACTAAATTTGTAAAAACATTCCTGACGCACTACAAACCATAAAATCAACACATCAATCGATACCAGTTCGTTAGTAGGTACTTAATACAAAAAGTTGGTTCAAGACAAATTGCAATTACGTAAATCGTAAAATTCTCCAGCGCTAATCATACCAAGAACGTTTATGATGATGCGGTGATGAGTATTCGCGCAAATATTCGCTTTTCTTTACGTTACTGGAGCCGTGGATAAATCTTAAATGGATGTATTTATTCGTCAGTTCCATTAGTAGCTGCTAACATGAGTTGTTAGGTCGAAATTGGTTCCGATGGAAAAATATAAATTTATGTTCGTAAACTCGTAAATTATCGACTTTTATTTCATATAATTAGTGCGTTTAACGGCCCTTTACTAAACCGAACTAACTGTCTTCTAACTGACTAAAGTAGGTACTCGTAAACATGTACGTACTCATTTTATGATATAATCGTAGGACGTGATAGAATTCAAGTTGTGATGAACATTATTTGGAAAAATATCCTTACGATAATTGCGAAAACAAATCTTTATTACTTTATAATTGCGGAATGTAAGCAGGCAATCAAGTGCAGTCTGTGGTTTTTATTAATTTAAGTGTTTTTGGTTTTTATTCATTTTAAACTATATAAAAACCCTGAATTTATCTGAGAACATTTAGAAATGCACTTTTTAGCTAAAAATTTATATTTAATAAATAATATTTATGATAACAATTAAGATAATGTAGGTATAAGCCTAATTTTGTGTTAATTAATCCAATAATTTTTATGTTACAGAGACTGTAATGTGCTCCGGTTGTAATCGCGTGTGGTCATTATTCCACGTAACATGGAGCGTACTGTATGTAACCAGCGGTGCAGCTCAACTGGTTGCCGGCGTCTTCTTCCTACTCGCCATTCCGTCGCTCATTCTCGGCTGCAATCTAATAACAGGATTATGGGCAAGTATAATTCCAAATATTTTAAGCGTTCTAATAATATGAAGTGCAAAAAATGTGTAATCGTTTTTTGAAGGTTAACTTTCATTTCTCCTCTTGTTAATGTAATGAATATTAATCTAAACTTTTTAAATGCAATTAAACTTTATTTTACGATAATCTTCGTATGATTACAAACTTTTTTGGAGTTTTTACTTATTTTCAATATCGGTTAAGGTTTTCCACTTCTTAATTTTATATAGGGGAATGAAATAACTGAATAGAGTTGAGGAAAAAATTTAAATGATCATTTGATAAATTTAAGTGTATATTTCGTCATATTTTTACTGTGCAATCTCGCATTTTGCATCATTAATCTTCAATCGTTTATAAATATTTAAAAATACTCTAATATTTGATGAATTAATTAAATAAAGTTGTAAATACCAATTAATATGTTGCTTTATATTAAACGAACAACTTCAAGAATGTTGATCTTTCCGAATTATTAAAAAATAGATTTAAAATTTTGCGTATTGTTATTACAATAAATATCGCCCCACTTCAGTTACATAACAACTACTTTTATTATAAGAGTAATTTTAGATTTTAATTAAAAGATTCTCTTCTATTAGTATTTCTTATGTCAGCACTAAAATTTCGAATTTTTGCTTCCTGAAAATATTTCAAATCAACGCGTTTCTTCCCTCAACATTATCATTTGCTCCTCCGTTTTACAATTACCATAAAAACGTGTCGCATTTCATAAGGATCATGAATGGTGGAAGTGCCGAGCATGCCGTGAAACGTTCGATGTTTGCTCTTCGCTTTCATTGCGCGGCGGCGGCGTCCCAGTGACCTAAATTCTTCCACCGATCGTTTCTCATAATCTCGCTTGAGCTCACCCATCGAACACAAGCGCACCACGAGTATTGGTTTCACAGCACTCCGCACGCACCCAATTTCAGTTGAGTAGTAATATTTCCACCTATCGATTCGGATTTCTGAACGGTATTTTCCCATTTGTTTGAATACTCGTACCAAAACACTTATGATAATTAGATAATGCGGTGTCTTTATTTCTGTTTTTAGGTTCCAGATTCTAAAACGTACATAAATGATCAAATTAGTTAGAATTATTCATGTTGGTCATCCGAAACGATTGAATAATCCAAATTTATGATTACGCATAGTTTAAGTTGATGCTGGTGCTTAGATTAGTATCACGCCGAGTCGCACGACGACAAAACCGACATGTGTATTCACAGTGCCGCGCCGCATTTAATTATTAAGTATCAGGATCGTTAATTGCTAATTAATTATTTTTTTGGAACTCGCGCCGTTAAATGCCAGTTGGTAATACGAGATTGGCTTTAATTTTATTTATGTAGGTAGATTGATGAATTGATATCACTTTTTAGTTTGCTAAAATTACGTCATTTTTGCCCTAGATTTCACACAAATTTATTTCTATAGGAAACTTAGGTATTCATAATAAATACGTATTATCAAAAGGTGAATTCTTTAAAATTTGACTATTTGTTAATTTTTAATTATTTATTATTATAATTACTATTTTAAAATATTTATTTTTTATTGTTTCGACTATAAAAGTTGCTTCTGATGACCTTAACGGTTTTCTAAACAATTCGCTATTCGATAAGACCTGTTCCTCTTAGATTTGACCTTTTGTTTGTTTCTCAATTTGGTTCCAAATAAATTTTGCATTATTGACCTTCAGATATAAAATATCAAACTTATTTCAGGCATTTTATTATTATTATTTTTTTAATTTTAGAATATCTGTATGGGTATCGGCGTTGGAATGGTTGCTTGTTGTGGACAAGTAACCCCCAGACGTCAGGAATACCTCCTCTACATGACCATCTCCATCCTGATGGCGAACGTGATCAACGCCATCGTGTCCGAATGGGGCTTCTACACCGAAGATCTTCCAAAACTGTTGATCAAGCATCAATACCACCTCCTGGTCCAATACGGTAAGACATTACATTCGTAAACAGCAGCATCGCCATTAACGACTATTAGATCATCGATGTAATTGCTCGCGACACGAATAGGATAATACGCGAGAATGCGTCGTGCATGGGATCGGCACGACGTGCTGGTTTTTTTCTCTTCTGGCTCTCGTATTCCTTATTCATTTCGCCCGGTCGCCGTAAATCGTATTGAAGAAGAACCATCGCGGGCGCGCACACTTACCTACACACGAAAACTCGTTTTCAGTGGAACAAGTCGCATAGTCTTCGCGGTCTCCGGCCGTCTCTTCTTCAACGGTGCGCGCTGCGCGTCGTCATCGCGTCTGCATCTATCTCTGATGTATTCATAAGTACATTTCATATGCGTACAATTCGATCGTCCACCTTTCGGTTTTTTTGTGTTGGACGCGAGTCTTGAGATTCCGCCTAGTGAACGAGAACGTTCGGTCTGTCTCGCTACGAGGGGAACGAGTTGTTTGTAAATACGCGCGCGCGAGTTGTCTTGTTGTTGATGGTGCGCGCTGGGCTACATAACATTCCACTTGTCGTCGTTTTTCGAAACAGACTCGTCTCTCGAAAACGGCGCGCGTTTGCGTTTTAAGTTTTCGCATTATGTGCAAAGTACAATAAGTTAAGTTAAAAGTTTCAAGTGGGGTTTTATAGAACGTGTATTAGAATGGTTCATTCATCGATTGTAAGTATAACACATCGTGTTTTTGCAAATGTTCAAAACCAATTCAAAACATGCGAAGGTCGTGTTTGGTAAATTCTATGAATACTAATGACGGGTGAACACGTGACGTGTGTTTATCAGCGAGGTTTGCCTCTCCACTCTGGAATCGTTCGTAAAGTTTTCGTTCGCTTCGGTCGGTGATTGTTGAATAACAAAAACACAAGCGAAGGTGTAATTTTGCAGTGAAAATAATAAATAATGAAAATCAGTAGACGATTCATCTACGTGTCGAACGTTGTGTGTCGCAATCGTGCACAACAAAACATTTGAATGAATGGCGATATTCTCACACATCACATCATCGCTTCGCAAGAAACTCTCGGCGCGCATTGTTATTGACTCGTTCGCGCGATTGCACAAATCAGGTAATTATTGAATTAATATGAGCCTACCACATACCCCATGAAAGGCTTGAAGCGCGCGAATATTAATGTCATGTTTTTACTTTCCATTGATGTAAACTTAAACAATTGACATGTTAAATGTAGATTGAATTGAGTTGGGCGAATTTATTACTGATTCAACCTGAAGTTCAATCGAGCGGACGAAGGTGGCAAATACGTACGATTGTTTTTTCAAAATTTAACATATGTAAAATGATTGGAGTTTTCGTTGAGCTTATCAGAATTTGTGTTTCAGCTTCATTGGCAACGCGAATTGCCGCAGCGGCTGTAATCGGCGTAGCCTTCGTGGACAGCCAGCTTACGTTCTGCTCAATGCAAACCACACGGCCGAGCACCAAGAAGAAACTTCGTGGTTCGCACGAACAGGTTTCCGATATTGAATACATAATTCCCAGGGTAAGCACCAAACGCGCAATCTTTGGACACCGTCGCAGCGCTAAGATGTAGCGCAAAAAAAATTGCGTCTGCGAGGCACACACGCGTATGTGTACACTTTGCCCGATACACACACTCGTGATGCAACGCGTTACATAAAATCGACTTCGCTCTTATGTGAAGTAGCACATGCCGAGTTTGCGGCTGCGAGAGGTGTATCCATTACGCATTGTTGCGCCGCAGTTTAGTTGTTTTTCAATCGCTGTGCTTGTCTGCTTTCAGCCAAAGTCATCCGGCGCGTCGTCGAAGCAGGTGTTCAATGCGTACAACACGCAGAGCTGGGTCTTCGAATCGGACAACGTGAACGCGGCGACGCACGCGGCCGCCTCCACCGCGGGGTACGGGAAAGCCGCACGGCTCGCATCCGCATCGGACTCGCCGTATTTGAAACTGCCGCAGGATGCGCGGACGCCGAAACGCTCGCCGAGCAAGAAAAAAGGTGACTTAGAGAACGGTGTTGTTATTGTAGCCGATACGACCTACCTGATCGACAACCCCATGGTACAAGTGGAGGAAGCGTCCGACGACAGCACGAGCAACAGCGATCGCAAGTTGTGTTATATGAAGAGCTTCTCCCGCTCGGCATCGCCGGCGGTGCTTTCCGCTAGTTCGTCTCAGATTAGCCTCAACCAACAGCAACAGCTTCAACCGCAAACCTCGACACCGATTTATGAGTGCCTGGAGAAACTTACGCAACCAGAGACCTTTCGATCGCGTTTGGATAGCTCGCGTAGTAATCGCGAGGATTCGTCACACTATCAGACTCCGCAAGTCATGGTGCGGCGTGCGGATTCTGCCAGTCCTCAAATCGAGCAGGTTCAGTATGCGTCCCTGATGAAGGAACTACAGAAGGCGATCGGGAACAAAAAGGAACCGGGGGTGACTTCGCCTCCGAGTAATGGCGGCAGTGGTACCCGCACACAGACCGCCTCAAAGAGCAGCAGTAGACAGGACTCATCGCATTCAGACGGCAAGAATAGCGACGCCGAGTTTTCCAAAGAGTTGGAGGCAGCGCTGCAGCTCATCCAGGATCTGGAGAGTCCGAATACAATCGAGACGCCCTCCGACACCAAGGCATCGGGCGGCGAACGCGACGGCAGCAAACCGATGACAGGGTGGAGAGACAGTCGCAGTGATAGTGAAAAAACATTGAGTGCAGTCGGCTCACTCGCCGAAATCGGATCGCCATTGAACGAGTGCCAACAAGAACTTTATACATTCAAGCCGTCGGCGAACGGTAAGAGTGCCCGTATCGTTGTTCAGTATAGCGACTCGCAAAGCACGTCGGGCTATAGCTCACCCACACATAACAAAAGCACACCGAAATGCTGGTCCACGACGTCATCGTTGAACGGCAGCAACACGGATCTGGGCAAGCCGCTCTCCTACACCATCCACAATACCAAATCCACCGCAGTCATATCCCTCTTCACCTCCAATGATGCCCTCAAGAAAGGTAAATCGGTCACTCTAGTCAACATTTCCGGAGACAACCAGCCGATACACGAACCCCTGCATTCGAATCTACCCTCCCCAATCATGACAGACATTACCAATCACAATCAAAACAATAACAGCAGTCATCGCGAACATACAAACAACAGTCAATACGATTATGCCATTGATGTTAGTAAATCGAGTCCGACGCGCCAAACGTCGCTCGGCTCGTCCTGGAACGTCAAGTCGCTGCTGCGAAGAAAGAAGCAGACCGTGCCGAAACTCTGCCCCGAGCTCGAGGGGGCGATTGTAAAATCCGAAAGCTTGGCATACCTTACCGAGCTTGAATTGCTTGCTAGGCATCAACGTAATAAAGACATCCAACGGGTAAGATGAATACAAATCAAAATGGAGTGGTGTTTCCCCCTGGTAACAAAATGGTGATTGGGCGGTTTTACGGTAACAGCGCGTGTTGGATTAGAATGTGTCGTACTAACGTTTGCCTCGGCGCATGCATTATCACTAACCCCAACTAACAACTGATTTGCAGGCTCTACCAGTGTCAAACGTTCGCAGTCAGTTTGCTTGAATCCCTCTAGTACCTACTTACAGCATGCTATATCAATAATACCTTAGTTACAGGTTTGGATGGGAAGACTTCTATGTGTGTGTTACTTTAAGATAGTTTAAAATCTTCCTCAGACCTGGCAAGTGCCTAGGAATGTTTATATCTCTTCTTTAATTACAGCAAATCGAGCAGAGAGTCCAGCAGCAACTTGGTACCCCATGGACTGATAATGAATAAAACAAAACAACACTGACAAGCGCAGGTCACTGATACTGCGCATGGAGCGAACAATTTGGAGCACTCGTATTCATTCAACCTAGTGTACAATTACAGAAGCTGCACTATCATTGTTAGCGTTAGCAGTACGATCAGAGTCGACTTAACGAGCTGGCCGATCCAAAAAAGAAGCATTCCTCACCTGCATCGCCATGGTCGATTTTGCTACATTGGCGTTATAGATAGGATTATTGGCAATTACTCAATTAGTTCTGCTGCAGTATTATCGGCAAACACTAAGCCAGAATGAAGGACAGCGTACAATACGGGCCGAAAGCGATTCGAAGCACAAATATGTATTATTCGTTCCGTAAACAACTGACCTGAAAGGTTCACGAAAGGAAATATCCATAAAATATCGAAAAAAAAAGCACGCCAACGTATGTGTTTTAATCCGATGCTAGGCGCGTGTGCTCAAGAAGAGGAAGAAAGAAACGGAGGAAGAAACGATGGCCTAAATGTACATCAACATTTTTATAGTCGTCATATTTAAATAACTGTCTAAAATGTTGTGCTGCGGGTCAGCTTCTTTCGTCCATGTCGGTTTTAATCCTATTCTTTGGCACTACACCCATAACTGATACACAAATTTATCATTACAACCAAATATACAAATGAAAATGCTCTAATGTATAAATGTATTACGATTTTAAACCCACGCCACTCAATTACGATTTCGAAAACCTCAAATTACGCTCAAGTAGAGCAAGAAATACAAATGATATGTAACAAAACTCAATTATTTATTATTGGATAGAAAATTTATCTATTGCATAAAGAAGTACCTATACTATTGTATATTTTTTTATGTGTTTAAACGAAGAGAGTTGTAAATATTGTTGTTATAGATTAATAATATAGTTTATAATATTATCGATTTTAACCTAAAATATTTAAAACTTATAAACAAAGTATAAGAAATTCTTGTGTATAAATAAAATGTTTACAAAACTTGTGGTTTTAGATATTTTGATAGATATTTATTATTTTGGTACTAGAACTTGCTTGTCGACATTGTCTTCCCATAACCGCAATCTGTTTTACGTTTGGGTTAACAAAATTGCATGAAAATCAAAATTACTCTCTTAAAAAGGCGATTGGGGCATATTCTATCCCTTTCTTAAAAAAACTTTGATTCAGAAATGCTTGAACGGGGAACCAATCCATCATCAATTTCATTTTGTTCCGTAATTATTATTATAATATTAATCATTGCGTGTTCCTACTGGTCTTTATTCTGATATTTTTAAATTTATTGTAAATTAAATTTGAAAACATCATGTTGTAAAAAACTTTATATATCGTTAAGTTGTTACATTCATTGATATTTAATCGTTCAATTGAATGAAACGTTAATCATATAAAATTGCTGGCATTCTTGTAACAACCTTAGTCGAGTTCACGGTTCTCCAAACTCCGCAAGCAAACCGTAACCCAAATAAATATCCAAACTTTAATTGAGCAAATAAAGACCTACGTAATTGAAACCAGTCATACCAGCTTTCGTCAACGATCAGTCCACATCAAAAAGTAAAGTCCTTATAAGAAAATCATTCTATTATTAACTTGATCCAACAGCACCAACAACAACTGTAAATATAATGGAGTTAATGTTTATGCTTCAATCTACTCCCGTACCTTTCAATTTACGATTAGAACTACTTACACACCTTCTCTCGAATATTCAATTATTATGCCACAACAGTGCGTGTGTGGTCAGGTCAGTGTTATCAATCTACCTGCATCCTCTGCATAACGTCACGCCCAGCTAAGGCCACAAACTGAAGGTATTCTTTCATATTCCTAGACTGGTTGCTTTACGAGTGCATTCGTGTTAATTATTTACGTTTAACAAAGCGTAACGTTGACTGACTTTGGTTGTGTTCGACGTCTTTGTGTGGCTACAATGGCGTGAAAATGCGTGAATCATGCTGGAGATATGCGTAGAAATAAATATAAATAATTGACATGAAATGTTATATGCTATTATTATAATAACAGCTGGTGTGTTCCTATAATAATTTACATAAAAATCTTACATTGAATAATGTGGCAGGAATTTTTCAAGCGGAATACTTTTGACTTATTTTTTTTCTTTTAATTTGCAAACGAGAAATTATTTTAAGGTTGAAGAACAATTAAATATCAACAAATAAATTAGTAAATGGATGTAAATGATAACTTATACTAAATTATTCTTAAATTAAGAAAAAATGAACTCTGAAATGTACAATTACATATCCTCGGAACAAAATGTTTAATAGGCTAAAGGAGTATAGATTTTGTGCCCTGAAGATGTTTCTCAGCTCTGTTTTCGCAAAAAGTGTCACAGTTACTAGTTACATGAATTTAACTGGTAATTTCATAGTTATTAACAATGCTAATATTTATACATTTTGAATAGGTTTTGAATAACTGAACAAATACCGAATGTAGTTATTTTGAACCAACCCAACAGTTTTCTACTTTTCGCTTTATATTTATTTAGACATAAAGTGGGCACAGTGAAAGCATAAAAATACGCTATTAACGCAAAAAGTGTCCGATTGTAAACGATAGTATTGGGGTCGGCATTATACTTTGATGGTGGCAAAGTATAGGTACTCTGACGAAGGTCATTTTTACAGTTGTACATATGATTATTTAAAATTCAACGCGAGCCACAAAAGTATCACAATCTACACGTAAATAAAATGAACTACAAAATGTCTACAAGAGTATATAGTGAGTCGTGACAACATCACAACACGTTACGCATACAAAACATCAAATAAGTTGCAACGTTACAAAACCAAATATATAGACTTTCTGAGTCTATTGAAAATTAGTTACACCTCAAATGTGGTAACTTTATTATACCTCAGAAGTTTAAAGCGCTAGATAAATACTGTGGCAAGATGAGGGCCGAGTTTATAAGTACCTCAAAGAAGCTAGAAGCATTGTAGGAGCAAAGCGCGCGTCAACGTCGAGGCAAGCGCAGCATACTTACACCTTACACCTCTCTGCTTAAGTTAAGTTACCTGCTCTGGCCGGTCGCTCAGTTCGTGTTTGAGCGAGGCACGCGCCACACTGTTTGCTCGCCTCGTCGCGTCTACCAAGTGAATATCAGCTATTCGATGCATTACGCGAGTGTAAATAAAGTGTAAATAAAAACAATGACGTCGCCCTCGTCAACATTGGACGGGCTTCCGAAGCAGTTTGTCACTGCGATGCGCACCCTCTTTGATATCATGGATGACAAGCACACGGGGTACGTCAACTTCGTGGACATCGAAAATCGTTGGCAGGACGACGGCTCCAAAGGCCTGCCAAAAGGCGTCCTGGAATCGCTGCGAAAAGTCACACCGCCCAATGGTTTACTCTCCTTTGAACGCTTCTGTGCTGGACTAAAAATCTCCTTGCTGCGTAACCAGGTAGAACGTACGGTGCCACCGCCTGTGACTGGTATATCACAAAACCGGCCACCAAGCGCACCTTTACTGGACCTGGACTCACCGCCAAAACCCACTTGGACCGCCAATACTGTTGCCATCCGTCCCAATAATGTTATATCGCAGCAACGCACCCTTTCGATGCCACAATTGCTTGTGGAGCGAAAGGAAAACATCCCCGATCAGGTCGAGCTGATGCAAGCGTTCGACAACAAACCAGTTTCGAACGGCAAGCCCACGCTCTACGGGCCGCCGAAGCCGCCGAGAACCGGCTTGGCGGGCATGCCGACGACCAACATCGATCGCGCCGAAATACGCACCGCGCTGCAGAATTGGCAGCTTGGCCTAATGATGAACGAGGATGGCAAGGATAAGCGAGGCCCGCAACAATTCACGACAAACGCCCACGCCAACGGTGGCATCTTCAGGACCTCGCGGTCTCTGGGCGACGGTAAGCCAGCGGCGCAAACGGACGCGCAAATCACCGGGATTTATCAGAAGAAGGCGAACGTGCGGAGGCGCGAGCCACGCCGCCACACGTTGCAGAACGGAATCGATTACAACATGCTCAAGCGCATGAAGCAGATCGAGCAGGAGAAAGACGTGCTGATGCAGGGATTAGGCGCGATTGAGAAAGCCCGTGATTGGTACCTCAAGATGGTAGCTGCCGTGCAAGAGAAGATGAAGTATTTGGGCCGGATGGGTCACGTCGTAAGTAAACATACGTTGAATTGATCACGATTCGACACTTGCGGGCGTGTTGGATACCAAGTGTGCGAAAGAAGCGTTTTAATTAAAACGCCGTTAGGATATCGAGAATTCTGCGCGTAGATTGCGCTCGCGGCTGGAGCGCAGACAGCAAATTGCCGCGTGTGCTCAATGTAACTACAAACCGTCGGATAACAATTCTCGTGTTCGTCGTCGGGTAACGAGCAGAGTTGAATTGCCAGCGTATCATGCAAAACGCGAACGCCACTAACCCACATTCGGTCCGCGCGGCGAGCATTTGCGACTCAACTCGCGCCTTTTATTCACATAATTAAATGCATATAGATGGAAGAGCGATCAAGCTCAGTACGAGCGAGATAATACTAGAGCAAAATATCTTCAAATGGATACAGGCGTTAAAAATGAAGCTGTATGCAGCAGGAATTTTAGTTGTTCAAGACAGATATAAAATAATTTGATCTTGAAATCGTCAACATAAAATTGAGTCATTAGCATCGACACCCAAGTGAATTAAACTGTGAATAACGGTAGACTTGGCTGAGAATAAATTGAAAAGGAAGGGAAGCATCTTATTTGGTTGCACTTACCACCATTTAATATTTTTAGTTTCACTCTTGGGTTCACACGTGAAGTAATGAGTTGTTTGCATATTATTTAGTAAATTTACATCTTATCGAATCATGAGTTACATTGTATAGGATCTTCACACACTATATTCATAAAATCATAACAATTCCAGTGAAGGTACGGAAATTGAACAATAACTTTCGGAATTTAATGAATTCCAAAATAAGTTTTGTCCATATTGGTAAAATACATTTTCCGCACTGAAATATTGTTATGTATTCGAAAGAGTTGAGGTTTAAAATTGCTGTGCCATGGTTTATAAAACGTAGGTGGCCTTGTTAAATGCAAATAAAATTGTATCATATTGTCGTGAAGAAAAAGTAGAAGTCATGGGCGAAAAGCGAAGACCGATGCACTTAAAGAAGAAACACGTTTTAAAAACACATTTAAGCATAGTGCAAAATAGAAATATAAGTATGCATGTTTTTTCAATGTATAACATTATGGCAATATCGTTTAGAGACATTGTCGCGTCATCAATGATATAACGTGTCCCGCGGTGTAACGGAAGTAAACATTATGCTTACAATACCTACCATTAGCGAATAAAATGATATTTTGATAGATCCATTTATTAGGCGACTTAAATATTTAAAATAAATTCTTATTATATTATTCAAATATTTAATAAAAGATCAAAAGCTTGACACCAAACCAATTTTTAAAATATCATAGTTAAAGTAAAAACAAGCAATAATTAGGTTTCACTCTTCTAAATTAACAATTATTATGATGATATACAGGAGATCCTGTAACTCTATCTCTTCCGTAACCATTAACAACTTGATTTATAAATTGAAACAATTAGACATAAAATTGTCATAGAGATACATTGGATACTTCGCTATAATGACTTCACACTTAGAGTAACATGACCGTTGAACATTATGTAGGTGGAAATAATTATATCCTAATTGATTCGCAACAATTTCAAACATTTTAGGAGCCATGGTCTGAAGCACAGCAAGAAAAACTCGAACTCCAGCGTGCCAGAGTGCTAGAAGTTAATAGGCACTTAGCCGCACTAACGGATAGTTGGGAGAGAGGCGGCCTGCCACTGCACATGAATCTCGCCGTCCATCATTACCCACAGCCACACGACTTGTCCTCACGATTAAAACAACAAAATCATCTACTCACTGAGGTAATTCAATCGCCTACCTACTTATTTTTTCAATCAAAATAATCATTGCACAAACACTTAGCTTATTAGTGAGTATGGTAAAATTAATTTTCACCATGCCTGGCTTGTTAACATTCTCTACACATGAATGAATTTAATTATCCACTAATTATAGTGATTAACTTTTTTCTTCTGCTTGATTTCTTTTTACAAATTTACAACCAGCGTGTATGAAATACACTGATAACAGTTAACTAACGCGGTCGGATGTTATTCCAAGTATGCACTTTGTAATTACTTACGGCAGTCTCTATTAATCAGTAATTATTGCAGAAAGTTGATGCTGGATGCGGATAATAATCAATTTTATTGTTTTTCTTCACAATTTAAACTAACAACCATTTTACATTGTAATTTAAATCACATTGTTTCGTTTGTTGGATTCCAGGAGGTGGGAAAGAAGAGTGAACGAATAACAATCTTGGAGCGTGAAAAAGCAAGCCTTATAAGAGAGCTTCTACAGACACGAAATCAGAATCGGAATAGTCAAGAGGAAGCAGTGTTTTAATAAATTATACAGAAAAACACTCCACGCAAAGTTACGGATAATATTTACTGTATTTATTGCACAAATGTTTGTGGTGCATACAATCGAGTTCAGATTTGATACAAATTGTGATTTTATTATTTAAGATGCATAATTTTATATAAGATTTACCATTGATGGTGGTATAAAAGTTTACGTCGTGCTTTCCTGACTTTAATTTGCCATTAAGCTATACAATGTTTAGTAAAACAATTAATCAACAGCAATAGAATTACAATGTAAATACTTCATGTGAAATAAACAACTGTTAAGTACATAATATATTTAAGAATATGTTTTTGATACAATATACATATAAATTGATAGTTGTGAACATTTACTAGTCCAATGATTTGGCGTTTGTTTTGGTCCCACTTTTAGTTCTGGGCACATAATAGTTTTGTACAAATATCAGATTAAAAAAAGTGAGCACTTGTTATAATAAATCACATTTTTATTTTGATTTATTTGTGTCTTGTGCCACCCAGTTAACACCATCATGTGTTAAGTTGCTCTGCACAAATGGTGATATCCATGTCAAATACCATCTTTCTCCTAAACAAATTGCAAGGTTGTTTAGTGTGCCAGTATCATAGAATCTATCTTTGAACTTTCTCTCATAAGTTATCATTCCATTTATCATTAGGTTGGTGTGAAAGTAAAACAACACACCTGTGAAAACACAGCCCACAGTGACTATCAGTACCAAAAATAGGAACAATTGATTCATTGTGTATTCCACAAATATCATAGCCAAAGGAAATACTAATTTTAAAATAGACATATATGAACCCAACTCGACTGAGTTGTAAATGTAGAAAATGTTATAATAGCTTGCATATAAAGTGGCAGCAAATATGTAGATTACAAACATGAAAAAGTAACGAAAATTATTATGCCCAATACAGCATCCTGTAAATATGCAGTGATGATCCCTCTTAAGAATACAAGTCTTGCATATATTGCAATGCCATGATCGAGGAGGTGCAACACACTCACAAACTGCACAGAATCGCCAGTTTTTTTCTGGTTTGCTTGGGAGCATTAATCCCCTGATGCTTGTGTCGATCAGAATAACACCAATGAAATTTGTTGTTATGTTGAACAATATAAATGTGCCCAGGATGAAATGAAAGTTGTACCACCCATGCCATTGGTTGTAGAATGTTGGCAATACTTCAAATATTTCAAACCAGTACACTATAGGTATTATTATGGACACAAACGTGGTAACTAGGAAATCTTGTAATGTTTTTGGTATAAAATCGTTGCGCACTTTCATTGTAATGTTAATCAACTAGATTTAAAAATAATGTAGTTCTTTAGTATCCGATTTAAAGGTTATATCTACAGCTGTGTTTACATTGAAGCAAGATTGAACAAAGTTGGTGCTTGAAACTACATAGTAAAATTACGAGCGTTTATCATGAATATTTTACCAAAGAAGAGGTAATAATAATTATTATTTGATTATCATTATATGTATGGGATATAAAATGATTATCTTCTAGATGGCATGTTCGAACAAAGGATAATATTGCAAGAGTAAGAAGAGATGAAGCAAAAGCAGCAGCAGAAGAAAAATCCAAACAAGAAAGGATACAATTAGCTGTAAGTTTCTAAATTCAAATTATTTATACCTAGTGATGTTTAGTATTTAACAACCTGGTTGATTTATTGCATTTCAAGCCCATATATCACAACTCAACTTCATTATTGTTTTAGGAGAGGGAAGCAAGAACCAAGCTATTGAGAGAAAGAGCCCACAAAAGAGTCCACACAGATGATTTTATGCCATATGATTCTTCATGTCCTGCACCCGATGACAAACCAACTAATGTTAACTTGTTTTTGGACCTTGAAGAGCAAACAGCAGAACTTAAACAAACAAACAAAGAACATGAAAAGGAAAAGAAAGAAGAGCAAGAAAAATATGAGAAACAAATTGGATATCTGCAGTACTTAGGTCAAGATACCAATGAAGCACTTGGTAAGAAGAATTGGTATGATGTAGCCCCAAATAGACTTGAACCACAAGATAAAAAGGAGGAAGTAAATTTGAAATCAAAAAGTCTAGAAGATCCATTAGTTGTGATTCAAAAGTTATTGGACAATAAAAATAAGCATGATAAAAAACCAATTGCAAATGTAAAAACACTTGATGGTAAAAAGAAGGCTGAGAAATTGTTGGCTGATAAAGAACTTGCACAGAAATCTTTAACCAAACTTTGTTCTAAAATTAAAAAGTGTAAGAAGAAGCATAAGAAAAAGAAAAGTAAAAAATACAAGAAAGAAAAGAGGAAATACGAATCTAGTGATGATTCTGAGGATACAGAGAAATTGGAAAAAGAAGCAAGACTGAAATTGCTTCGTGAAGAGAGATTAAGTCGGGAGAGGGAAGAAAGAAAGCGCGCTGAAGCTGTGATGACCAAGCTAAAAGAAAAACAACTGGGAATCACGAAACCGCCGGAAGCACAACCCACGCAACAAAGATACCATTCTCAGTTTAACCCTGAATTAGCAAAACAAAATTCTAGTCCACCAAAGATCAAGAGAGCTCATCATTGATATGAAAATATTTAATTTCCATCTTGTGTAAAAGGTCCGGTATAAAATTGTAAATTAATATTGTAGATTTAAATCCATATCCAGCATTACTTCTTGCACCTTCCAACTCTACTTAGAGGTACACAAGCCTTGTTCTTGCATCTGCAATGACGCGGGAGTTTGGAAATGTGTTCCTCGGCGCCTTTCACTACTGAGTAACTATCTCCACCTCCAAGGCTTGTCAATTCGTGTGATGATGGTTCCTGCGCGGTTTTAGGAGCCATCCAGATGAATATTTCACCAGCCCCGCCGGTGCTCACTAAATATTTCCCATTGGGACTGAACGAAACAGCAGTTACGACTGAACAGTGTCCCGCACCAATGTGAGTAGTATTACCTTCAAGCCCCAAAGAGTTCAGATATCGTTTAAATGCAGCCAATGATTAATCAATTTACTTACCGCCTTGATAATTCCACACTCTGATAATTTGATCATTTCCTCCCGATGCAAAAACGACTCCATTGCCACTCATATGAATCGTATTCACCGCGCTTGACGAAGAACCTTCCAATTCGCGTACGAGACTGCCGTCTAAAACTTCCCAGTAGCAGATTTTCTTGTCCGAACCTGAGGTTAAAATCTGCACGTCGCTGGGATGATACGCTACCGTCATGAACAACGTATTCGCAAAGATAACCTGCCGCCGGACGAAACGTACAATGTCCCAAATAATGCAACTGCCATCGGTACTAGCACTGACCGCTTCATCGTTTGCATTGTTGATGTGAATTGAGGACACTGGACCTTTGTGCTCCTTCAGTGTACAGATAAGTGTTTGAGTTGTGGGCTTGATATCCCAACATCGAACTTGTCCTTCACAACCACCACTGATGATCATGCGGCCCGATTTTAGGACGCACAAAGCCGATACACCTTTGTTGTGTGCGTCCATTATAGCATACATTAGTCGTCCTGTTAGCGGAGTAAATGCGCGTATGACGCCGTCATTCCATGCCGAAAGAATACATTTGCCGTCATAGGTAAAAATGACTTTGGAACATGTAAAATTCGGTACCATTATCCGCAGCAATTCGGTAGCGGTTTTGGTGCTCCAAATCCGGATATTGTGAATACTTGCTGTTGCAAATACATCCGGGAAATGGCTGAAATGTGAAATTGCACTTGTGAACTAAATGAAAATTTCTTCTGCGAGAACAACATACTGGGGAAATGCCACGTCGTATATTGTTGAAGTGTGGCACGTGATTAAGAGTTTCACGACGAATGTTTTAAACTCAATGAGGAAAACTTCACAATTTTGCGTGCCTGCATACATAGTGTCATCATCTTTCATCACCAGACTAGTTACGGCTGTTTTAACATGTGCAGTCCTTATCTAAAAACTTATCTTTAAGAAAACTCTTGTAGTTCCACGAAGAGAAGAACTGTAAAGATTTGTAAAAATATTATACAAACCACTTTAAATTCGGGCAGTGTACACAACTTGTAAGCAATACTAGATGGCTTCTTCAAACGTTCCAAATATTTGGGATTTTCTACAACCAACTCAACAGTACCATCACCGGCACCAATAACAAGCTCGCCCTGCGCTGTTAAAATGATAGACCGGATGCCTTAAAAATGAAATTGGTATGAAACATATGATTAAAGATTACAGAATTATTTATTACCCATTTGGTAGAGTTCTACGGTGCCAGCCGGCAACTTCTTCTTGCTAATTTTAGTAAAACATCCAATCATCATGGGTAACTTTTGCGGGTCTAGAACTTCCACATCATGATGGAAATTCAGACGTATCTTTAATACATCGCCCGTGCTCGTTCCGCAGAAGCAAATCTCATCGCGGTCATTTGCTGCCATGCATAGCACTATGCGTTTCAATTTAGCAAGACTTACCGAGGTACCGGTGATGGATCGAGCTGCCGCATCAATTTTCCAAATCATCAACGTGCCATCACCACCTGTCATGAAACAGGGATCACGGCAGTTCATTGGATAGAGGACGAAAGCATCGCCTTGCGTTCCGCGTGATGCCTCCGTGCTACAGATGAGCTTCTTTTGTTTAATATCCCACACTACAACTGACCCGCAGTCGCGGCCACCTAGGGATAGGAGGAAGTCGTCTTTGGCAGAGAAGACAATTGCCTCAACACGTACTTTGTGACATTCATGCTTTGCGAGAAGCTCCCTTTTGTGAAAATCCCAAAGGATGACAGATGCCTACAAGATTTTGCTACAGAACTGAGCTTATAAATCTAAGGTTTTAAAATTGTACCAGAAACCCGATGTGATTAATTTGTCCGGAGGCTACGTAGTTTCCACTGCGAGAAATGTCCAGCGCGGAAATTGAATTGGTGTGCCCAGCGAGGAAATCATGTCGCTCGGTTTGCATGTTCTTTATCACAACTTTATTTCCCGTGGGGTAGACGATGTCCACACCGTTTGGATGCGCTCGCAAACCATGAATTGTATTGCCATCAAATCCAACACATGCATATAATTTCAGATTGGAAACCTGTTCGGCATCGTTATCCACACCTTCTACTTCCGGCACATCTGATTCAGCCATGTTGAATTATATATTTTATTAGTTTTTTTGCTATATTTTTGCACTTTTTCTGTGAGCAAAACTTGAATGAAATATGTTGTCAGTCAGCAAATGAATCTAATGGCTGTCTGTAACGATCAAACAAAACAAAATTCCGTTTTGTTACACGTTGCTAGCATCTTACTTTACAAACAAAGGAATGTTTATTGCGATTGTTTTATTGTGTACATTTTATTAGCGCATAAAACAATTTAATTGAATGATAACCCTGTCACTCTCTCAATCCAAGGAAGAGCACTCGATACACGAATGTACCCAGAAGGCAGTCCTAGGGTACACCCTCTAGCAGCAACAAAACTGACGATGCCTACTTGAGTAGCTTCACCAGCGCTGTCATATGTAACCAGAGGACCACCACTATCGCCCTAAATCAGATATATAAACGTTAATTTTGTCTTTTTTTCTTCCTGACAAATTCAATAATTGCATTTACCGCGCATATATTTCTGCCTTGTTCGCCTACTGTACACAAAGTGTAATCTTTGACAACAGCTCCAAAAGTTTTTTTACAGTCAGCATTTTTTATAGTACGTAACTCAACAAAATTTAGATAACTGACGGTAATTTTAGGAAAATCAGAAACTTGGCCCCAGCCGCTAATGGTAACAGGAACGTTCTCGTCAAGGAATTCATCACTTTTCTGCAATTTAACGGGCTTGATAACATCGGTATAAGTGACAGGCTCTTTAAGTTCGATGATGCCAATGTCGTTGCTCAAGTCAGCAGGATTGTAGCCTTTGTTGTAGAAAACTCTTTTGACTTGTGGCGTAAGTCTATCTTGGTCACTGGTATCGTAGGGCGTTGTAGAACCTAGGATTATCTGAATTACAGTATTTCTACAACCAAAAAACATTGTTTGCAATTTGTTAAATCTAATAATATAATTATGTAGATACTCATAGAGGCAATGGGCAGCTGTTAAAAGGTGTGTAGGACTGATTAAAGATGCCCCACAAATCATTGTGGTGCCCCAGAATCCTGCAGTTTTGTATCTAATTACTGCTTGCCATGGGAATTGGCCACGCACAGCTAGGCGGCCGTTGATGATTCGACCACCCATACCTAATTGAATTATTTATAATATAGAATTTAGCACATTTATTAAAAATAGATATACTCGTATACCAATATCTTCTTCGTCAATTTCTTCATTGGGAGTGACAGTGCCTTCAGCAGCACCAAAGTCCTCTATATTCGCGACGACAGCTGACAAACCAGCCAACAAGCCTATAGCAACTAGAAATTTCATTTTGGACTATGGAATTTTTACAAATGTACTTAGTTATATTAGTAAAATAGAAAAACATGCTTTATTATTTATTCAAATGTCTCATATCTATGCTCACGTAAATTTTTGAATTTTTGCTTTAGGGCAATAGGAATACATTTTAGACTTTAGATTAAAAAAAGATAAAATAGTTTTACAGTAATTAACTTTTTAGTTATATGTTATATTTTATATTTTAGTTATAAAATCTACACTATTTGATTGATCTGTGAGTAATTAATACTAATGGAAAGTTTAGAAACCACATCTCACAAATAATTGTTTAGTCGCGATGCTAAAGTATTTTCCATTACTATAAATCTACGAAAATCCTATTAAAATCTAGAATAAGTATAACATTGTCGTGATATATTAGTGGAATGTCAGTTTCCTCGTTTTTTGTTTTATAATTTTAATTATTATATATTGTTCAAATAGTATCGGAGTATACGAGTAGCAAATCAACAGAAAACATCGTGAAGGTAAATACATCAGTACGTGATTCTTCCTTAGCTTTTGTACTCACATTTGGAAATAGAGTTAATAAATTGTTAATATTATTGAAAGCAAATGTTTTTTTTTAAATTAACAATTAACGACAATTAAAGTTTTAACTAAAGGATGTCCCAACTTTCCTAAAAGTTTAACAACTATCCCCTCTCATTTTTGTGAGTTCCGAGATTAGAAAATATCTTTGAATTTGTCTTATTTTTTGTAAAAATGTGTATAATACAAAACATAGTATTCAATTAAATTGCCGTGGAATTCAATATTTTTCTTGTAAATTAAATTCTATCAACCCATGATTCAATACCAAAGCAAAAAAAGTGTAATTTTGGATACCTGAATAATGCTATCAAATATGATATTGTATGTGTTATTTGGAATCATTGGCATTGCGGTAAAGTTACTAATATTTAATGTGAACCATTTGCATTTGCAACATGAAATGCCCATGAAAATTTCGCACAGAATACACAAATTGCAATAAAGTGTCAGCATAATTTATAACATAAAACGGTACTCGTAAATGTTTAAAGGCCAGTATTTTACGTAAAATAAACGGTATACTGTTGTCTGACAATTTATAAATATCAACCAGTGTACGAGTATACGCTAACATGTATGACATCCATTCCGCATTTAAAATTTGTTTTATCAAGAATATTCAGCGTATTCAAAAAGCAAGACTTTCAACAATGTGTGTTGCTGTGTTTTAAAATAGTACCTAAATATATTAGTCACAAAAAACATTTAATTATTTAATTGATACACTCTACTAAAATAAACGTTTATAAAATACAAAAGGTATTCTTACCTTGAATGCTCCAAATTACGAAGTTGTTTTTACTGATTTATGGCGTTCAGATCTTCCATCGTCGGCGTGCATTTGCAGACTACACGTTTTCATATGGGTGAATATGTGTTTCAACTTTAGTTTTAAATTCAATGATTCACTTTTCTTCCCCTGAATTAAGAAAAATATGATACAATTTTATTTTATAAATTTTTGTGATTTTTGTGAAATTTTTAATCTCGCGATGGAAATTTGGTTCTATCTCGGAAACCGTTTATGCAACTTCAATGATTCTTTCAAATTTAGATAGCGCGAGAGTGTTTTTATATCATGCTACATTGCCGAAATTATACAGAAAATTTCTTAAAATCGCATCCAAAAACTCTTCTATATAATTAGTATTCTCGCACGTGGTCATTTAGTTTCAATATGCATAGGTATCTGAGCTATCTGTTCTGCTTGGAAGGGAAATAGATAGATTATACTTTTATTGTGCTAAAGCAGGACAAAAATAATAATCCAAATGTTGCAAGTAGTGCGCGTTTTATTGCAGCGTGCGCTCAGGATTATCGCCTGTTGTTTGTTGGGCGACGTTGCTGAATGCGCTGCGTGGTGTCCTCACGGCAGTTTTGTGCCGGTCTTTGTTTGGGTCAGGCGTATTTCTCTCGGCTGTTCATCATTTTATTTCGAGTTTGTAATTTGGTGAATCGCGGATTTTTCAATTGTTGATCGACTGCATTTAGCCATTACGGACGTTTTTAGTGTTTTATTACAAAGTCGTTATGTTCTTTGCGTTCGTTGTGCGTATTGCAAGATGGTAGCGTGCTATCAACTTGTTTACACTGCACGTTTGCAAGATACAGGTAGCATGCAACGTCTTGCAACGTTTGTTGTGATATTATTTGGACAATGAATCGGAGTATGGGCAATGTTATGCGTGGAAGCCAAGAAAGATCGGTACAGTGCAGACTTTTTTAAATTTTAATTTACCTTTTATTCATACGCGTGCAGTAAAGTCTTTGCTTAGGCCGATATCTTGTTATTACTGTTAAGATGCTTATCTAACCGTTTCTAGTATTACTGTATTTATGTGATCTTGGTGTCTAGCAGGCGAACAAAATGCAATAGGACCACGATTCTTTTATCGGATAATAAGTATTGAATTTGTGTATCATTTTCATAAGTAATTTGTGTGATTAACACACGGCACACCTGCAAAAATGTCATTTTTGTGTTTCGGTGTGCAAATTTTTTGTCCTTTTAGGTGTCTAGCAGGCGACCAGAATGTCCTAGGACCACGCTTCTTTCTTCAGATTGTAAGTATTGAATTTGTTTATAATTTTCATAAGTAATTTGTATGATTAGCGCACGGAAAACCTGCAATAACTTTAATTTTGTGCTTCGATGTACTAATTTTTTGTTGTATTAGGTGTTTAGCAGGCGAACAGAATTTCCTACAATAACGATTATTTCACCAGATTGTAAGTATTGAATTTGTTTATAATTTTCATATGTAATTTGTTTGATTAGCACACGGGAAACCTGCAAAAATGGAATTTTTGTGCTTCAATGTGCTATTTTTTGTGGTTTTAGGTGTTTAGCAGGCGAACATAATGTCCTAGAACAACGATTATTTCATCAGATTGTAAGTATTGAATTTGCTTAACATTTTAATGAGTAACTTGTGTGATTAGCACAAGGGAAACCTGCTAAAATGTCATTTTTGTGCTTCGATGTGTTAATTTGTTGTTCTTTTAGGTGTCTAGAGGGCGACCAGAATGTCCTAGGACAACGATCCTTTCATGAGATTGTAAGTATTGAATTTGTTTATAATTTTCATAAGTAATTTGTGTGATTAGCACAAGGGAAATATGAAAAATGTAATCTTTGTGCTTTGATTTGTTAATTTTCTGTCCTTTTAGGTGTCTAGCAGGCGATCAGAATGTCCTAGGACAACGATTCTTTCAACAGATTGTAAGTATTGAATTTGTTTATAATTTTTATAAGTAAGTTGTGTGATTAACAGAAGGGAAACCTGCAAAAATATCATTTTTGTGCTTCAATTTGCTAATTATCTGTCATTTTAGGTGTGTAGCAGGCGATCAGAATGCCCTAGGACCACAATTCTTTTATCAGGTTGTATGTATTAAATTTGTTTTTCATTTTCATAAGTAAGTTGTGTGATTAACAGAAGGGAAACCTGCAAAATATCATTTTGTGCTTCAATTTGCTAATTATCTGTAATTTTAGGTGTCTAGCAGGCGATCAGAATGTCCTAGGACAACGATCCTTTCATCAGATTGTAAGTATTGAATTTGTTTATAATTCTCATAAGTAATTTGGGTGATTAGCACAAGGGAAACCTGCAAAAATGTCATTTTTGTGCTTTGATGTGTTAATTTTTGATTGTTTTAGATCTCTAACGGGCGAATGATATGCCCTAGGACCACAATTCTTTCATCAGGTTGTATGTATTAAATTTGTTTTTCATTTTCATAAGTAATTTAGGTGATTAGCACACGGGAAGCTTGCAAAAATGTCATTTTTGTTCTTTGATGTGCTAATTTTTGGTTATTTTAGGTGTCTCGTAGGCGATTGAAATGTCCGAGGACACCGATTTTTTTTCATCAAGTATTGAATTTGTTTATCATTTTCGTAAATTTTCATCCTTCATACCATGGAAAGTGATTTAAATTAGTTTTTTTTAATATTAGCAAATGCAGATTTCTGGGTGATTTATTTCACCGTTCCAAAGCTAGATGGCTCTAGTCGGCGATGTTTAAACTTGTGCGCGGGTATCAGCTATGTATTTTGTTTTGTTTCGCCGCGGTCAGATGGCGCTTTTATTGATTTGGTTTAAATTCATACTTCATTTTTGTTATTTTTAGTGCGCTGAGTTGCGGTACGTACGTCACTTTTATAGACAGCTTTTATGTTTAACAAAACATGAACTAACAAAATTTGCATACTTAGGCTTCTTTATGCTCTAATTTTCGGTTGTTTAGGTGTCTAGCGGGCAAAGTTGTTTACCATTGTCAAAATTCAACATTTGCATTTAATTCAAGGCAAATCCTATTTGTTAATTAAAAACTTTCTTGCCAAATAATGTTTTTGTAAACTTCTCTTCATAACTTGGTAACATGCAATATATATTTGTAGTCACATTTCTGTCGTATGCATGTAGAAGAATACCCCTCCAACTGCGGGTCTGTTATCAATTCTGTGGCTTGCATAGTTCGGCTAGTCGGTTGAGCGCTGTTGCGTGGTGCGCACGTGTTTTCTTTATTAATCAAACATGGTGACGAATTCTTGCGTTTCTTGATATTTTGTAGCATTACTAGAATCGATTGACAATCAGAGGCATTTAGTTGGAACAGCCCAGTGTAGCGCATAACGAATGATTTGAGTGATTCTTAGCGGTGCGCGCGTGGAATCCGTCGGATATGTTCCGGTGACTATGGATACAAGTGATTGTATCCAAGTACAAGTGAGTACATTTGGAATCCCCGCGAGGAATAGTAAAGAAGTGCGTATCATCAATTCTACATACTATTTGCGGAAACGTGTTTGTACGCTTTAGTCCATTGATAGACGAACAAAGGAGTAAGTAGCATGAAATAAAACTTAACTTAACTTTAACTTTTCAAATCCTACAGTTACCATGTTATTGCTTTATAACAATTGTAAATGTTCAGTCAATAAAGAATATTTTAAAGGAAATTTTACATTCTAGTAAACAATGTATCCCTAGCGATCACTTAGTCGTTTTCAGAATTAGTATTAAGTCATGTTGTACTCTAAGAGTATACCATTGTATAGCATAGTAAAGTACAGTGTAGTGTATTTATACTGTTGTTTTATTTTACTCTAAGATATGAAAACATAAATAGAAGAAACCAATAAGATTTGATAAGAAAGCCGTGTGGCTCTCGGGTGTGCAGCACGTGTTGCTATATCGTAGATCGATGGTTCGATCCCCAGTTATATAAGGCATTTTTCTCAAATATAAAAATATCAGGTGTAATCTGGGTTGCATATGTAAACTCAAATAAAATATAAGAGAAATTGCAATACAAGTGAAGGCAATAAGAGAGGTAAGAAAAGTAAGTAAGTTGAGAAACGGAGAACAGTTGGAATAGGAGGCGTAAAAGAGGTAGGAAGGAATAGAAGGAAGAGAACAGAGTAGAGAAGAGGGAAGAAAAAGAACAGGAGTGGATCAGATTTTTAAATTTTTTGGCGGCGTGTCGTTAGACAGTCTCACTACTTCGATGCGTCCATTGCTCCCGGCCCAACCTACAGCTACGATGTCTCTGCGCTTCATCCCCAGGATTCTTAGGCATATCAACAATTTTTATGGTGGGGGATCACCCCCCAGAGAGAGGGAATTCCTTATAAGGACAATCCTTATGAGGACTTGTAAAAATATTTCTAAGTTTTAAGTCGTCTCAAGACAGGCGACACTTAAAAATATTTTTACAAGTTCTAACCTGTACCTAAAATGATAGAAGGGGTCACACAAATCATAGGAAGCACAGTCACTTTTAACATTTCTTTATTGGAACATGTATACAATGAAAACTTGAAAAATATAATGCTAAACAATATATGCGCCGCCATTTTGAATCTAGTTATAAGAGCAGTATAGCCACGTACATGCAGACAAGTACCAAGGGTAAAAAATAACAAAGAAAAGCATATAATACTAACCAATTATGCATAATTTTCGCGAGAATTAGAAAAAACTATTATACAGAATAGATGCAATATAATAACATTTAAAAAGAAAATGCAAAAATCAAGTAATTTATATCTAAAATCACAGTCAAAGTAAAATCAAAGGAAATTAAGATACAGAGTGATGTAAAGAGAAAGCGACAAAATGTTAAAGGAAAATCCTAAGTTTAAGTGGTATGACACATATCTTTCTTACCTTTGACAAACCCATTACGGAAAATTATAATACAGGGTGATACAAAAAGAAAACTATAATATTTTAAAAGAAAATCCTAAGTTTAAGTAGCATAACATATATCTTTCCCCTTGTGACAAACCCACTACAGGAAACATTAATACAGGGTGATACAAAAAGAAAACTACAATAATTTAAAGGAAAATCCTAGGTTTAAATGGGAGAACATACATCTTTCCCCATTTGACACTACGGGAAATTAATATACAGGGTGTTACTAAAAGAAAACTCTAAGTTTTAAAAGTAAAAAGCCCAAACACTGATAAATATGGTCTATTAAATGATAAGGAAAATATATCTACTGGGTGATACACAAAGTAAAATTAAGATTTAAGTAGGAAAACGGAGGTGACAATAACAACATAATATAAGAAGAAAACTCTCAGGAATTTAAAAAAACACCGGAAAACAAAGAAAAGTGAAAAGTGAGAAAACATAAAAATAGAACATTTCAAAAATTGTATTTTCTTTAGATATGATGGAAAAGTGATGGGTAGCATATTATAAAAATAAAGTACAAAGCAGAATTTTATTTTAAATCATGTAGTTGTAGAACAACCAGCGACCAGCCCGGAAAGCCGCCAGAGGATCAAGAACGCAGCTGACGGCACGCGACTATCTTAATCTTTATAATTTGTATATTAAACAAAAACAAAACAAGGTATCAAATACGTAATGCAAATCAACGGTATTGAAACCAAGACAAAAATTATGTGTAGGCTTAAAGACCACACAGTTGTAGTAAAAACAAGTAAAGGCAGTAATGAATTTGATTTTCAAATGGCTTAAGAAATGTGAGAACATACCTTGATGCAAAATTAATTTTTGCGCTTTTGGCCTATCACATAAATTGTAAGGACCTTCATTGTAGAAATGATGAAATACGCGTATCATACAAAAAGAGTATCCGACGGCTGACGGAACATCACTCACGTTTTACCTCTGCGTATAAACAATTCGCATTTAACGAACGCCACACATCACGCGCGCACAATGAAAGGAGAATTTAGAAATGTAATTTTGTTATGCAATGACGCGAAGAAATTAAGGAACTCAAATTATTGTGCAGAAAATGTGCGTGCAGATTACCCGATGACAAATATGAGACTGACGGGGTAGGCAAGCCAACCGCGTGGCGACCGCACAAAAATTGCACAAGATAAGAAAACTTGTTTGTTTGCAAACATACATTCATTCAGTGTGATAATGCAGAACAGAAAAGAATTGTACTCGAACAATGCATGGATTATAGATTATAAAATTATAGATTAAAGCCCTATTGGCGTGTACACACCTACTTTTTTTTCATTTTTTTTTTTAATTGCAAATAGGCCCTAAACGTTCAATGTTAGGATAATAAATACTTAAACAGTTCTTTTAATTCTACATCGATTATTTTAGTAACTTTTATTCTTAAGATTAACCGTTTATGCCCTATTTACAAATTTTGATGAAAACAGCATTTGACATAAAAAAGAGAATTTTTTTGCATTTTTTATGACGAAATATTATATTTCAACAGATTCTGTAATAATTAGAATTTTTGAAATTTGTTTTTGGTTTTTGAGAGTATATTAGTATATTGTAGCTTGAAGCCATTTTGGCATGAAAAAATAATTTTTTTTTATTAAAATTGCAAAAAGGGCCAAAACCGTCAATGATAGAAAAATAATTTCTTGTATAATCAATTAAGAATTAAATTATCTTTCAAAATCCAAAAACAAAATTTAAACATTCCAATTATTTCAAAAGCTGCACTAGTTGAAAAGAAGATTCCATCATAAAAGGGCAAAAGATTTCTCTTTCTTATTTTCGAATTAAATTCGAATTAAAAATTGTATATGATAGTGGTGGGTAGTGGGTTTTGCCGGAAAAAAGCCGCCAAAGAATTAAAAACGCAACCGACAACACACGACAATCTTAATCTTTTTAATTTGTACATTAAACGAAAAAGAAACAATGTATCGAACGTATTGCAAATGAACGGTAAGTATTGAAACAGAGACAAAAATTATTTGTGTAGTTAAAGACCATTTTCATATGGCTGATGAAATGCGTGAACATACCTTGATGCAAAATAATTTTTTGCGCGTTTGGCAGATCCAAAGAAAATACGAAATAAATATGTTATACGCGTATGATACAAAAAGAGTATCCGACGATCGACGAAATATCACTCACGCTTTACCTCTGCGTGTGTACAATCCGCGCTTAACGAACGCCGCACATCACTCGCGCACAATCGAAGGTGCATTTAGAAACAGTACGTAATAACGCGACAAAAAATTAAGGAACTCAAAATATTGTAAAGAAAATGTGCGTCCAGATCACCGGACGACAAAAATGAGACTAACGTGGTACGCACGCCAATCGCGAGGCGACCGCACAAAACTGAAGAAACTTGTTTGTTTGTAAACACTGATACTTTCAGTGTGGTAGTGCAGAATATGAGAAGAATTGTACTCGTACTAGGCATGGAACTATTAATTTTTATTAAATTCTTAATAGGATTCTGATAGCTATTTTAATTCTACATTGTTTATTTTCGTAACCTTTTTTGCTAACATTTACAATTTTAGAGATAAATGCATTTGTTCGTATTTTTCGTAGACCTTTTTGTTTTTGACATAATCGCCAATAAATTCGACCCTGTTCTTCGATTGAAAAATATTTTAACACAATAGTTCGACCTTCTTCCATGACCAAAAAAATTTTAAGTAAAAAAGTTCGATCCTGTTTTTCGACTGAAAAAATTTTAATAAGAAAATTCCAACGAAAAAAAATGAAGTAAAAAAGTTTGACCCTGTTTTTCGACCAAAAAAATTTGACCGAAAAATTTTAAGTAAAAAAGTTCGACTGTTTTTCTATGAAAAAAATTTTAACCAAAAAAATCGATCGAAAAAATTTTTACAAAAAAATTCGACCGAAAAAATTTTAACAAAAAAATTCTACCGAAAAAATTTTAACGAAAAAATTCCACCGAAAAAATTTATTAAGTTTCACCCTGTTCTTCGAACGAAAATTATTTATTTAAAAAAGTTCGACCCTGTTATTTGACCAAAAAATGAAATTTATTAGACTAAAATAGCGATATTCAAAGAGGATTTTAAGACACTTCCAAAGGGTTCACAGGGTTAAAAAGGTATGCATAGTGTAAAGGGTCTCTCGATCTTTAGCACGACGTTGAGAAACTTCAAGAAAATCAATTAGTTCACGTGATACAAGGTGTTTTCTACACCATGTTTTCAAATTTTTCTAAAGTTGCTCATTTTGGAAGGTCATTTTAGGACACTCCCGAAAAAGCTGGAAGATTGAAAAGATATGCAACGTATAGACAAACTAGTTTCAATTAGTTTCGGAGATACCGGGTGTTTCCCACCCCATCTTTTCAAATGTTCCTGAAAATGCTGATTTACGAAGTGCATTTTAAAGCACTTCCGGAAGGGCTGGAAGGTTAAAAGGGTAGTCATCGTGTAGAGGAACTTTCTAACTCTATTCTAGCGCGAAGAAACTTTAAGCAAGTCTATTAGTTCACTATATACAGAGTGTTTTCCACACCATGTTTTCAAATTTTCCTAAAATTGTTCATTTTTAAAGGGCATTTTGGGGCATTTCCAAAAAGGCTCGTAGGTAGGAGGGGTATGCATCTTGTAGAGGAAGTCTCCCGCTCTAACATGGTGGTAAAAAACGGCTACTATATAATCGATATTAAAAATAATGATATACCTTTACAACTATGGAAATAAAAACAACTGTATCTGCAGACACGCGAGTGAGGCACGCGGATCAGCCGCCGTATAAGCTGACAATCGGCCCTAAACTGCTAGCAGGTATTAACTGCAGGTATAGGGAAGGTCGTGCAGGTATACATTGGATAATACGTAGTACCGTTTCTATATTTCTAAGTGTCGACTCCATTAAAGCCACCACAAAAATTGAAATATTTTACAAGTGCTGGCCTGTACGTGCAATGGTAAAAGGTATGCACACAAATAATACAAGTCACAATCTGTTTTCACATTTCTTTATTACCAAATTAAATAAAAGAAGGTTTTTCACCAAAAGTTTTGAAAAATGCAGAGAAGAGCAAAGTTTAGAGGTCATTTAATGCAATTAAAGCGGAATTTTGCGGAGAACAAGGTGTGCATCATCCAAAACGATTTTTACGCTACTTGAATTCAAAGAAAAAAAATACCACGAAGGGTTTTTGAGATTTGATCCGTTTCCCACTGTAAGTTTTGAAAAATTCGAATAATTTGGCGGCCATTTTATGACAGTGATGGCGGAATTACGCGGAGAGCAAGGCATCGTCCAAAACCATTCTTATGCTACTAGAATCCGAAGAACAAATAAAAACAATTTTTCAAAAATTCACAAAAGGGCACAGTTTGGCTGCCATTTTAAGATAGTAAAGTCGGAATTTTTCGAAGGCAAGAAGTGCATCGTCCAAAAATCCATTATAAAAATATCACGAAGGATTCGCAAAATTATGACTCGTTTACCACCGCAAGTATTAAAATATCCGAAAAATGGACAAACTTTCGGGGTCATTTTGAGGTACGTAATGAAGCAATGCTTGTCGCGTAAATTAGAAGGAGAAATATGATTGAATAATAAACTTACGAATTGTTATGCGCATCAGTTATCAGGGCACAGCAAGTACTGTAATTAAAAGAAAAGAAGTTGAAATTTATAAGATTTTAGAATAATATATTCATACTTCATAGAAAATATACAACATGTGCTGTTGAATTAAAAGTTACTTACACAGAGATAATGATCAATAAATCTACATGGGGGCCATCCTATATCCAATTCATTTAGCGACCGGCACTGAACCTTGCCACTTGCATAAGTATGCACACGAAACGCGATCTAGGATCTACCACTAATGTACAATAAACGCGCAAATAATAAATAACATTACTATAGTAGTTACAATTAAATAGTCGATTGATGATCGAATATAATGTGAATTTAGAAAGCAGAAGTCCAAAGAAACAATACGAGTCGATCAAACCACGACTGAATCAACGACCGACACGAAACTGCCTGCAAATCATTGATATCGCATGTCGTAGCCGAGCAAGCAACGATGCGACAGCTTACGATAAGAAAGCAAGAGATGCGCGAAGCCGGTGCGTGGATTGCTCGCGACCTTGTGCGCGAATTGCAATAGGCAGGATACCCTAAACCTAAACTAAACTAGAATATGCTGAACGCGGTGTGAGGGGATTTCAACGACACCACTCGGGAATCTCATGCGTTGCATTCCACGCGGCGGAAGCGATAAGAAAGTAAATTGTGTTCAAAACAAACACAATTCTCTTGCCGAATGCCCACGTCTGCCGATAAATATAGAAATAAACAATGCAATTCTATTTTATGATTTTAAGTTCATGCTAGTGCCATCTCTGAATGATACAAGTCTGGTGTCTCGGAATTTAGATTATTAAAATTAATGAGAGGTTGCACGATTTTTCATTAACTTTAAAGTGGTGTTACATTTTACGAAACTTTCAATGAGAAGCAATAATCAACAAAAAATGAATTACTTCATTGAATTACAACATTTCAATACATGCAATTTTGAGTGTTTACTTCTTTAGAATCAATTTTTATATATAAGCCCGCGATGTGAAAATCTATGGGAGTAAAATCAAATTTACATATCCTCGATGCCAACGTGATCTTACTCTAATTTGGTCCATGATTCACTACAGAATATAGGGAGAGTAGGGTAATGGGAGTCAGCGGGTAATGGGAGTCACCCATATATCCACGAAACAATAGTTACGAGTACCGCGTAAACGGCGTTCCTACCTCCGTTCTGGCCCCCCAGTGCCACCCCCAAAAAATCATGCAAATCGGTGCGTGTATCATTGAGATACGCCAATATTTTATTTTTGAGCTCCGCTGATCTAATTTTACGTCCACGCAAATTAGAATATAAGTGTCGAATATCTTGCAATATTCGAATGAAACTTTTATATAGTCTTAGTTAAACATTCAAAATCGTGATGTGCAGTTCAGATTACATTAATGTTTTGAAGAAATATTTTTTTTTTTTTTTCACAATAGTGCAATTGTGGGCAATGGGAGTCATGCGACTCCCAATGGACGTTTTTGTCTTTAGTCCGCTCTAAATGGCCTATAAAAAGCAATGTGACTTATTTTTCAATAGCCTTCATGCAGAAACGATACTGCAGGAAAGTAACAAAACTTATGATTCCTATATTGGCACTGATGACTTATGCCAGGGCGATGGATGAAGATTTGGAAAACTGATGTCTAATGTGCAACGATTTAAAAAAAAAAAAACAATTAAATGTGGTTCATAGCACTTCATTTGGGCTATGGGCTCATGTGAAATGCACTGGGTGGGACTTTGCGGAATATTATGTTTGCGATATCTGCTAGATTTCGTTTGATTCCGATTGTCCCCAGGGTGACCACCATTACCCGCATGTCGGTGTAATGGGAGTCAAATCTGTTTTTTTTTTAAACTTTAATAATATCCAAAATTGATTGTCAAAGTGACTGAAAATTATTTCAAATAATAGGTATTTAAGTAAACAATGCTTATAAGCGATTGCAATAAGTATTTTGTTTATAATTTAAATTATATTTGAGTTCTCCCTTAAGTGACCCCCATTACCCTCTTTTACCCTACACCGCTTATCTATATAGGTAGGTATATGGACAAATTTTAGTCGATGATTAATACGGTTGTATAAAATACAACCAAGGTAGATGATTTCGATGATTCTTGAAACAATAATTAATTGATTGACAATATTTTTTTTATAAATTTCAAGCTATTACATCTTCCTAATACAACTTTTAGAAACATCAAGAGATGTTGCGAGAGTAAAAAACATTATTTAGTACCTAAAAATGTATTTCTAAATTGAGAATTTTTCCATGCAATTAATAAACTAGCATAAATTTATGATTTTTCATATAATTTAAATGGTTCATTCATTTTAATTTTTTTGTTTTGGTAAAATTATATAATCTGTCCTTTTCTAAAATTGTCACTGATCGTAACTGCCGTTTTTAAATTCAAACGCGTTGTGCGTTGCTGTTACGGTTGCTGCGCTGTTCCGCAGTTAATATTTCTTATTGATCTAAAGATTTAAAAATACACCCATTTAAAGACAATTATTCTAGTGAAAAAAAGGAGATTTATAGTGATAACATAAATCTTAAATGAAAATGGATTTGGTAAGGAATAGAATACCAAAGCGAGCCCCAGCGTTTTAGGTTAGTTTTGTTGATTTCTTAATTTGTTATAGATTCCTGATCTAAGTAAAGCCTATAAACTACAATTATCAATGTTCCTTGAGGAAAACCGTCTGGAATCTTTCAAGAAGTGGGTGTTTGATGATGATCAACCATGTAATGCAGCCAATGTATGATCTTTGTTATGAGCTACATGGAAGTAAATAATAATGTTAATTTTTTATTCAGATGGCAGAAGCAGGATTTTATTCAATTGCTACAAAACCGATCCTGATTTAGTACAATGCTTCCTCTGCAGTAAATCTCTTGATGGCTGGGAAGCAAAGGATGATCCTTGGGATGAACACTTTTCACATTCAAAGAAGTGTACATTTGCAAAGTTAAAATTGCCAGAAGAAGAGTTAACATGTGTCCAATTTGCAGCCTTAAGGAAAGAACAACTACAAAATGTATATAAAAAGCATTTTGCTGATTTAATACAAAGCAGAAAAGATGCATGGGATGAGTTCTGTGCAAGCATAGAAGAAGTTGCAAAAATGAAGTAGAAACCCTAAACCCTTCATCACTATCATTATTTATTATTTTATTTTAATTGAAGAATGGATTGTGTCTGGCTTATATGCAATTGTGAAATATAAGATAATTGGCCTTTTAAGGAATAGAATTAAGATTGGCAATAGATGTAATTTTAAGATTGAAATGATTTTTGATTCAATATTGTTGATATCTGTCACGCTTTTATACAATGAAATATCACGTCCACTAACGGTATTAACTTATAAAACCAACATCACTTGCAGATTCATGTGTAATTTTGTACAAGGTTTCAACGAGTGCATTGTCTAACCGATTAGCGACTTCCTTACCCATTTTTAGGCATTCTATCAGTGTACTTGGATGTAGAGATCCACCACCTGTTTGTACAATTGAACTAAAACTGCTTTTTGATATTGCAATAACAATTGATCCTCCTGCACATTGTTCCTCTGCATCTGAAGGATCCACTATGCAATTATCACCTATTTTGCATACAGTTACCTGGAAATATTTTAATTAATTATTAAAAAGTTCAATTTCTTAAGAATTTTGTTGAATTTACCATTATTGGTGCATCAATGACATTAAGCCTATCACAATCATACAATTCATCAGACACTTCCATTTCAATCTTGTTTCCATCTGCACTGACTGACTTTATTTTAGGTATCCTTGTGTCCCATAGCGCGGCTTTAACAGCTAAAGATACAGCATCAAATAGATTGCCAGCACACTCCAGAAGTAAAATATCAATGTATAACTTCCAGCACTTTCTGCCTTTCATGATGCATAATACTCTAGTATCAAATGCTGTTGTGGATTTGTAGGCAGCAGTTAGACAATTTGATATCTCAGTTGCAAGATTATCACCTCCCCTTCCTTCAAAATCTGGTGTTGCATTTGCTGAACTGTGTACAATATAACAATTAATAAATAATCCAATATGTTGTTTATGTTGAATTTTAAATGGTAACATACCAATCAACAAAGAACTCTAATTTTCCTTTATCAGGCTGGTCTGGTAAAGGTACATCTACTTCCACTTTAACTGAGACCAAAACGTCGGTATTTGCAAGCCGCAAACGTGCTGAACCAAATGAAGATGCTACTATTCCAGTTTCTAGTTCCATGGGCCTGTAGTCATTGTTTTCACGACCGTCAATGCGGAAATTTTCTTCAACGCCATGGAGAATTAGCGTTTTTTTCCGCCTCGCATAACGTCATTATAATTATATTTACTACTTTAAATTTAAAACGAATTGATTAGTTGAACCAACAATTATGAAGTACCGCTATGTATGAAGAACAATATCACAGAATAACATAACCTCTAATAAACCATATGCGATCTTACCGAGAAACACTAGCCCAATATTTACTAGCCTATAGGATACATTAGCAGGAGAGCGAAATTTAAATGGTTATATACAAGAACTAAGTTAAGTTCGCCGACGAAAATAAAAAAATGATTAATTTCATTTCAATAAAATCAATATCACAAAATACTTGCACTTCTATGCATGTTTGTCTGTATTATAATCCAAATACTAGTTAACAACCTCGATACCCCTGCTTTCTTCTAAAGGTTCAAAAAAGTGCATATAAGTGCCGACTACTGAACGGCAACTCGCCACCAGTGGCGAACGGCAGTAGGAATACAAATACAAATACAAATTTTCTTTAAGTTCAATAGCAAGAAAGGTGGAAAAACTCCGATTCTTAACTGTTTTTCTAAATGTTTAAGCAAAAAATAAATCATTTTTCTACTTTCAACGCCAGTTTTTTTCACGGTTAAGTGGAAAAGGTCCAAATTAATTACGATTATAGTACGCATGACATTTAATATGATGTTGTGCTGCATCGCGGGCCAATGCGCAGGCGCAAGATCCACCCCGTGACTAAAACCTGTTACTAAAGTACCTGTGTCTCAAGACCGTGAAAAATTGGTGCTTTAAAGGTAGAACTAGATAAGAATAATTTTCTATTAGTTTTTATTAACACATTTGGCAAATAAAAACGATACCAAATAGTAAGCAATAAGCAGTAAACAAGATGTACTTGATATTGAAAAATGGCAACTTCTTCCAATTATAACTATAGCCACGGAATGGGGTCAAGAAATAAAATAATGGCCCTCGGCCAAATACGCACAGATGTAGGGTAAATAAAGTATTAAATAAGAAGTAATTTAAAAAGAAGATTTTAATGTTTTGTATTGAATTGTATTTTCTCTATCCTAATACGATGTTACGAACAATTTCTACTTACAAAGACATTAACATCTATTATATTTATACCTATTTTAATTTATTTATAAATGTATAATTATTATTTATTATGTCATGATGGAATACTCATAATTCATAATAAAATCGATTTGAATTATCCATGTTTCGTGAAATGTACACACAGTTTTCGCTCAGTTTTCACAAATCGTTTGGTTTCAACGTTACAATATTTCGCAATAAATTCATAAAAGAATACCTATATCCAATTACTATTTCCTTTGTATTTCGTTCACGAAACAAACATTTACATTTTTTGCTCGAATCTAATGTGGCACAATATCAACATAGCGTTGTTCTCTTCTATCAACAAAACGCATCGACAAAAAAATAACATTGCACTTATCCAAACTAAATGTATGTGTGTCTAAACCTAAACAGTCAGTAAAAGTAATTGTCTTGCAACTCTTTTAAGTTTATTTTCATTCAGGTTGTAGAAAAATTGTTCATCATATGGCACTCGTTTCTAATGAAACAAAATAATATTTCTCTTTATACCGCAACTTGTTATCAAAGCTCTGCATGTTTTCACTCAACCTTAATGGTGTTTTCAATAAAGATTGAAAGTATCTTGAATAAATCTAAACACAATAGTTAGATCAAACGTAAATGCGTTAAATCCTGAGGGGGAGCCAAAATTATAATTCTACATAATTAAATATAGTATAAAATATCACATGTTTACTTTAACAGTAAATGAAGTTTGAACACTACGCGTCTCATATACGTTTCCACTCCTTGTATTTCTTTCGTGTTTTTCTTTTTCTTTTATGAATGAAATTGACGTTTCCAACTTGATTCCACGATATTGCATTATTCAAAAACATTGCATTACAAGAAAATTATAAAAAGCAGTCGCATTTATGAAAAACGGTCCTTATCTTCATGGCATATGCATTATAACAATGTGATGTTTAGCGCAGTACAAAACATGTGCTGACAAGGAATGAATCTATCGTTATTCATAATTGCAACCTCATTATTACAAAGTGCCCTTAAGAGAATTTAAATTTGAACTCAACATTTTAGAGAACTCTGGCTCTTTGTTCTACCTAAATAACAAATAAAATCTAATAAATCTCAAAATAATAAATTTTACAAAACACTCTCTCAAATATATATATAACATTCTTTTTATATACATGACATATAAATACAAAGTAATTTTCAAAATACATAAAACTTATCGAAAAGTTTGTGGAAACATTCATTCATGTGAATTATTTATTGCCAGCAACGCAACGGACTAAATGAATAAGTCGTATTTGAATGCGGAGAAAAATTCAGGTGGTGGGCGTCAATAATGATGGCAGGAAAAACTCATAATCAGAAGCGGTGATTGTTTCAGGTTTCAAGTCTATAATTGGATATTTAAAATTATCGTTGCGCTGCTGGCGACTACTAACTGTAACTTATTTCTCTTGGTTTGGTACTATTTGACTGGTGGCTTATTGCTCTGTACTGTTTTACGTGTATAGTACTGTTATGTTCTGCTGCTCGGTGCTCAGTAGTATTAATTTAATTAGTATCAAGAAATAGAAAGAGAAACGTCTCTCTAAACTGGGTTGATTATTTATTGATTGTGGATGCTAAATTTATGCGAATCTATTGTAAATTGTCAAATATTGCAAATAAATTGAAAGCTTGTGCACAGACAATTTGTTCGTAGAATGTTAAACGATTTTGAATAGGAATCGTGCCATAGATACTTTCAGATGTCGCTAATAATACAAGAGCAAGATGTTGTTTATGATTCCATGTACTTGTACGTTGAACAATGTAAACATGAATTATTCAAATTATGCTTAGATTTTCAGACTTACGAAAAATACACGGGTGGACATAAATAACAGTTGGCTGCCCTCGCAAACTCACGCCAATGAACACCGTATAGCGCGCATTTTAACTAATAACAATAATTGGAGTTTTTCAATGGATCAAATTAATATCAGAATGTGTATGGATGATCTTACCACACGAAGAAGTTCTGTACACGAAGATCGATAAATATTTACAAAACGAAATCTAACTGGTATTTCTTTTCCTCCCGTTTTCGCATCATTTGTTTGTATATATAAAGATTACACTTTGTAATTGAAAACCTTAAGTACGGTAAATATATGCACAATAAATCCGACATTGATCGATTTTACCCAACATCAGTCCCGTTCTCCAATTTGACGTGCATGATACTTTCGCATTAAAGTAATTATAGCAGATTTGGCAAATGACATTTTTGTTACATAGTTTTAATTAAAATTAGATGCTGAAGAACGGCATGTTTTTCGCATTGTCTTTTTTCGTCGATTGAGATCACCGCTCGTTCCGCAACACCCCACCCCATTTCTCACCACGCGTCTTCGAACAAGACCAATTGATTTATGCAAAAGCACAGCAATGTTTTGTAAAACAAAAACATGAAGATATACACAGTATAATACAAAATTCCTTCATCGCAATCATTTAAATCGATTAAGCACTTGCCGCCTATCTGTTTCCTAATAAATATTAAAAATAGCTAGATATGTTTTATTTACATCAACTTCTTTAAAATGCAAATAAAGACGGGTATTTTCATAATTATTTGTGCGAAACGACAGACCAACAAGTCGGAACCGATTTAAACAATGCCGATGCGCGTACAGTCGAAGCATTTTGCGCAACGCATGTGCTTTCCTTATCGTCCTCGTCGTCATTGCCTTAAGGATGCCAAGGACACTGTTCACCTTCGAGCTGAAGCAGCCGGCGCGCACGCAAAAGAATCCGGGCTATGTAACACTAATAATGGATCGCGTGGGGTCCTTGTTGGCCGCGTCCGGAGGTTCACTTTTCACACACTGTCCTGTCAGTTGATTCACACTCAGTGGGTTGTTGATGTCGTGTGGATTTGTGCCAACCGGGTGGCGCGCTGGGTGCAGCATTTGCGGCGGTGGCAGCGGCATCTTGATTTCGTGCAGAAGGGCCTCGTGCGGTGTAAGCGGACTCTGGAGCATGTAGGGGCTAGCTACCGACACCGACGGGCTAGCGACGCTCGTCGAAGGACTCGGAAGTACGACGCCGCCGGGGCTGGTAAGAGAGCTCAGCGCTGACAGGCCGCCAGGACTCGACATGGACTGGTTCAAACTTTCGGCGTCATCCTCGGGCGGGGTGTGCGCGTCTCCCATGCTGCCGCAGCTGCCCAGGTTGTCGTCGGATTGATTGCCGTCGTTGGAATCGCCTGCTTCCATGTATCGTATGCATTTTTTCTTGCGTCTAAAAGGCCAAAGAAAGAATGTTACTTTCGTTTCATCACTTTGACATCTCGCATGCAAAACAAACGTCGTAAAAACATAGTGTTGTATGGAATACTCTGCCATCTTAATAAAGATGGCGCGTGTCCTAAAATAAAATCACATGCCTAAAACCTACGTTGAGTCGCATGCTAGAAGTGTGAGTGTGTTGCGTATTAACAAAATTATTTGCATGTAAAAACACCATGCAGTTAGAAACGAAAAGTACGTGGTTTTTTGTTTGTTATTTGTTGGCAACGCAAAACTCTAAGAAACAGAACAACGAAACAAAAACTCAGAGAAAACACAACAACAACAAAAAACGAGAAACATAAAATCGAAACGATAAATCGCATTCAAAATTATGTAATGTACACCAAACACTGCTGTTGCACTAACCACCATTGCTGGACTATAGGTTGACGTATGTAGGTTCCTGAGGACTCTGAGCAGACGCAGGTCCGCCTGCAGTGTGCAGGAGACTAGCGTGCACCCCCGAACTTCCACCACTCAGCGAACTGTTCTCCGGGCTAAACAATCGTTACACTTGTACAATGGGGCAAAGAAAGTTTTGTTTATCGTAACACACATTAAGAAATCAAATGGTTACGCACAAACAACGCACGCCAAAATTGAACCAACATTTAATGAGAATTTATGATAAGTATAAAAATGAAAGAAAAGGCAATCGAACGAACAACAGGATACACTTAATTCGAACAGGCGACGCTCGAAAATATCGGACGTGTGCACAAACAGAGACAACGTAGAGAATCAGAAAATGTGTCAACAACTGAATGCCCCCTTGTATCTCTTACACAATTTATGTGGAAATGTAATGCAACAGCAATGTAAAACAAGTGTGCAATAATTTTCACTAACAACAGGGTGGGTCCTTCTCTTTGTGGGAAGACACATTTTCTGATTGCTTTCGACTATCTATTTGAAAGGCAGTCTATATTAGTCACGATATGAGATCTCATCGCTTCAACAAATGAGGAAAAAATCAATCAATATGAGATGAGCAAAATCGAAATGTAAGAAATCGGCGAAGTGTCTTCCAGACATTGAAACATGAAAAAATAATCATACAGTCTTTCCACATAGATAAGATACACCAAAAAATACGCTGCAATTATGAGGTTTCTAATTCCACACTCCTCGTAAAACGCGCGAGTGCGCAATTTTAATTTGCGCCCCGTCTTATTGGAATCGTAAAACCTCATAAGTGCATTTGCGTATGTAAAAGCTACTTGTGCAAAAATAGATATTAAATTTCAAAAACTCAAGGACATGGCAGCCAAGATGCAGGCAAACGCAAAAAATAAACGACTCGGGTGTGAGAGCGAGTGCAACGCGCTCCTGCTTGGTGCGAAGTCCTTAATGAGATGGTTATAACATAATGGCGTAACGCATGCAATTAAAAATCGTAATAAACGTATTTTACCTGCAGGGTTTGCACCATTGGCTTTGTTGGTCGAGACCATATCTCGCTCGACACTTTTTCATGCTGTTTCCTGTTGAAATTACCAAAGAGCTTTAAAAACATTTAATGAAACATAATTGGAAAGAAAATTCCAGACTATATTACGTTCAATACTCGAATCGAAACAATGTGCATGCAAGAAAGGCTTCAACGGCAAATGAAAATACTCTCTACTTAACTAAAAACCAACAGTAAAACAATAAATCAACAAGCGCGGACGCGATCCTGCAGATCGGTGCGCTGGCTAGCTACTCGCTATCAACTAAAATAAAATAGGTGTAAACTTGGAATATGCATGCGACGTCAGAATGACAGTGTGTTGGTGGGCGGGTGGTGTGTGCAGCGGTGCCTGCGGACTAGTGTAAGTGAAGAGCACATTTTAATGGAAGAGAGACATGCAAGCGATTGGGAACTGCCCGACAACAAACGTGCATACGAGTGAGTAATGCGAGTTCTGCTCGCACAGAATAGGTCCAGGCCGGCTGACCGATTTATATATAATATGTATGTATAATAATATGTAACCCAAACATGCAAGAGAGAGAATCGCAAGAATCATCTAGTTCTGTGGGGATGGCTCTACCTCCTTCGGCAGGATCTTGTTTGCGCTTCCTCTTCTTGCCGCGCGTGGCGTTAGCCCGTGATGACCAGTCGGGGTAGAGCTGCATGTGCAGCTGTCTCTCGCGGCGTGCCAGCTCATAATACTTGGCCTGCTCCTCGCGGCCCAGTGCGTGCCACTAAACACAAATACGTAAAATCGGTAAACGAAGGGGAGCAAGTAATCGTAGGCGCATCGGCAGGCACCAAGAAGCCGCTTCACGCCACGACCTGCCAGCCTGGCCAACAACCCATTCTGCGCGTATGCACACCGTACTGCACGTTCGTTTCGGCGTTCTATCAGATTTGGTTAATATCGGGTATGGTGGTATTTACGTCTCGCATCGCTACTACGACTTTCCCACAGGGACTCAACTACACACACAAGCAATGTTAGACAACGTACGTAACCTAGCTAGTGTATAGTTGTTAGTACCCGGATGGGGCAGTTGTCGGTTTTTAGATAAGAGAGAGTCATTCAGATTGGTTTTAGAAACAAACACTATTCGAGTATGTACGTTAGAAATTAGGGTGCGCGTAAATTTCAAATTTGTATGTGTATACCTCCCGATTCGATGGGCGTACGCTCTTTCTTTCGTTTCTTCTTCTTGGTGCCGTAACCGTAATTGTCTCGAGCGCTCCAGCCTGGATACAGCTGCATGTGCAATTGGCGCTCCTGCCGTGCCTTCTCGTAATATTTGGCTTGCTCCTCTCGGCTCAGAGAGTGCCACTGTACAACCACATCATTTAATTTACAGATTTACACATGAGGCATGACATGACAATTCAAACTTGATTCGCAATAATGATCCTGTTGCAGGGGAGAATCGATAAAATCCGAACAATCATAAAACATGTTTCCCGGCTGCTAATTCGCGAGAATATAAATGATTGCGCCATCTCTAGACCACACATCCCGAGAATTATGCACCAGACATGAGGGATGCGCGTGGACGCGTGTCCCGGCCCTGTCCCGCTGCCGCGCGATCGTTGTATCTACCCCCACCCAATTCGACCCGCTCTCGCGCGCTTGCAAAAAACGAACCCTTTGTGCAATTTAATAATCCCCATAACAACAGGCTGGAGATTACGGCAGCGACGTCTTAATCCCGAAACACGAAATAAGATTACCAAATCGCCAATGCTCGTACGCATAGAGGCATTTATGCTGCACATAGAAATGATTGAAAGTCGCTGGATCTCAGTTCGTGTTTGCGTTCGATGGGAATGTAATTAAATGCATTCGATGATGCATGAATGCAGCGCCTTACCTTTCGTCCCAGAATCTGGTTGATCGCGGCGCTCTCTTTCAGCGTGCACTCGGCGACAACTTTGGCACGCATCTCCTTCATGTACAGCATGAAGGCGTTGAGGGGTTTCTTGATGTGGGGCTTCTTTTTGTCGGCCGAGTTACTGTTGTCCTGATTGTTTTTCACATCGCATACGTTGTTCTTTTGGTCCGCTTGCGTCCTGTAACAATTGCACATCACGCGTTATTAACAGTAATGAAGCAAATGGAGAACTATTTGTAGACAAGTGCATAAAAACTAATAGTTTCACATAATAACAGCGCGCTTCATTTAGTACCTGGGCGCTTTCGCGTTGGGCGACTTGACATTATTCACGCGCATCTCGTTTTTTATGAGCGTATCTAAATGACTCGGAATTTTCACTTCGTTTTCAATTTTCTTGTTCAGCAGATTATTTAGAATACCATTATTGGCCGATACGGAGCCGTTGTTCGCCGCCGCCGCCGCCGCATCGTAATTGTTCAAATTAAAATAGGGCAGGTTCATGTTCAGCACGGAATTCATATACCAAGCGGTGAGAAACTTGTGCTCGGCTAGGTGATTGATCATCGAGTAAATATTATCGTTGGACGAAAGATTCTTCTCATAGCTGTCGTTATTCTTGTAGACGTCTTTAAAGATGTTAGTGGTGAGGTCCTTGTCCTTGGCCATCACACTCTCCGCGAATGAATTCTTGTTGTAATTGTTCTTGACCTGTTCGCTCACGCTCTTTGACAAATATTTGCGCAGATCCTCGTTCGCGTACTGCCACGGTGGCAGCGGACCATTAACGTCCTTCTTGCTGTCGCTACTTAGATTATCGGGCTTATCACAGTCTTGCGGCGGGCTGCTCTTGCCGTTCATCATGTTCGTCTTCTTGACGGACAGGTCTTCCGGCGCGTCCTCAGTCTTGGCGGCGTGCTCGCCTAATTTATTGTGGTAGACGGTCGGCTTAATGTTGCCGTTGCCGTCGACGATCGACGACGGTGCGACGATCGCCACAGGTTTCTTTCGAATGCTCAAGTTTAGCGGCTCATCCATCGTCACGGGCCCGATTAATGTTACAACTATCACTATATAAAATTTATAAGCTCACAATTATCACAATTCACGTTTGGTTTAAATTTTAGTAAAATTATAAAATGACCGCGCCGGAGGATGTGAATTTTATTCCAGCGACGCCGTGCGTACGCGATCGTCGCTGGATGGTTGTTGGCCGCGTGCGGGGCAACATAAAGCTATCACCAGGATTGAGATTCAACAAGTTTTTTATTCGTCGTTTATCACGGAAAATCAATATGAATGGTTGTGCCTGTCCTTTGTTAAGATTGCATGAAAACAGCCGAGCCAGGCGGGCTGGCTCTGGCTGCGGCGGCGGGAGGCGCGTGAGCGAGCGCGAGCAGGAGGCAGACACACGCGAGGCACGTGTTTACTACATCAACACAGAGCGCGAGACGCGAAGACGAGAGATCAGCGCGACGCCGCCACCGCGTCGTCGTCTGCCTCTCACCGCCGGCCGACGTTTCAACTATTTGGACGCGCGCCGTCCGCTGCGTTCGGATCGCGAAATGGGTTTTTCAACGGCACGTCGCGAAAATGCGGCCATGGTGCGTTATGATTGTATTAAATGCCGCGGATCCGGGCCTCTCTCGACGGCGGCGGCGGCAGCAACGGCGTGCAAGCGAGCGAGCGAGCGGTGCGGCGGGTGATTCAACAACTACCTTGCACTGCTTTTAGTGATTTTAGATTAGAGATGCACACACATCGAAACGCTGAAATGGCGCGCATACGAATGTCTCTTTCAATTGCAGTGGGATAGAGATAGCGTTGAAACGTTTGTTGTGCTGCCTGCCAGCCACCACCGCCGCTGCCGCCACTCTCTCCGCGCTTCCTGCGGGCCAGCGCGTTCCCTCCGCGCGCTCGTAATCGCCGCCAGCCGGAGCCTACTTCTTCCCTACCAGCCCGGCTGATGCCTGCCGCTCGCTTATTTGATGGATTGGCTACTGCTACATTATTCTACATAATAATACACACGAATCAATAAATCATACAACGCTTCCCTTTGCCCGCATTAATGACTTCTCGCTAAATGCACAATAAGAATTTGATTTTATGCAAACCAAAACAACCGCAAAAAAATGCGCGAAATTATTAACTATAAGTAATAATAATAATTATTAAAAATATTAAAAGAATAGTGACGCATTGAATTATGCAATTGAGCACAGCATCTTTTTCTCCTATCATCGGTACTCATAAAGAGGCATAGCATAGAAAGTCATAATTATAATAATAAAATATCAATACAGCTTTAAAATGTCATTTCAGCTGGGCATCCCTTTGAACGGCCAAATTACAAGATTTATTGATTCGCAAAGTGCAGCAGTCGGCGGTCGTTTAAAAGAGGGGAGATTTTTGTAGAAAACTTTACGTGCGTGCGCCCCGAACTACCCCGACATTCACTTCCCTAATGCAGAGGGAGCTGCAATGTACTTTCATTCTTATATTCCCGGTCGTTAGCTCGCGGTCGTCCAATCCATTCTGCGATTTTCTTGCGTCAACCGCAAGCGTAACTTTTAATTATAATCGCAAATGCTGTTAGAGAATCGCGCGTTGCGTGGGCGTAAAGATTATCAGGAGTGCGGCAAACGTGCGGCGCAACGATAAAGTCCCTCGGGATATTCATGTTCGGTTCGCCGCTGCGCCGTGTTGCAACATTAAAACCGAGCTCGGCTGTATAAATAGCTCCGGAAAATGAAAACCAAACAAGAACTGTGCAACCACCCTTCGAGAGTGAGTTGGGAGAGCGCACGGAGGCAGCAACGGCAGCGGTGGCGGCGAGATGAGGTTGCTACGGCAACAGCTCGCCAATGGCTGCCTTTGCCGATAACCAATCTTGGACCTCATTTCCCGCATGGTTGCTTCGCCCATCGGATTACTGGTCACTCTTGATTGCGATATTGCACACTTGGCAATTTACATAGTGTGTTCGCAGCAGCGTGCACGCATACCAGCTTACTGTCGCCGAACACGCAGCGCAGAGTGCTTTGCACAACTGAGTGCAGAGCGAAAAATAAAACACCACATACACTGCAATGTGCTGAAATAGTACTGGAAATTTTCATGACAACGCACAGCAGTGCGGTTTGAATAAAATATCACTTACCTAGCATATCTATGATTGAGATCAGGTAATTCTTGTTTAGGCCCAGGCGTCACTATCGCCGGATGCGATGAGAGGTGGTGGCCGTGCGGCGAGAGACCCGGGTGCGGCGGTATCAGACCCGTAGGCGAGAAGCGGCTGTAGAACTCCGTCGGCAGACTCGACGTGGAGATCGGTAATGTGCTCGGGTACGGGCTGCGGAAACCGGCGCCCGGCGAAAGAGGATACATTGTCGGTGTGTGCCTAAAAATATACCACCAACTTAATGACCATGCCGTCCCAAACGAATTTAAACCCAATTTGTTCTCGTATGGAGAATTATGCATTACAAGAAGGAGCGTAACTAAATTAAGGGCTTACCATGATGCTGCCACCTGTGACATTTCAGGGCTGAGCATAGGGTACGCATATTGTCCTGCACCAAAGGGGTACATAGGCGGTCTTGTAAGCCCTGAAAAAATAAAAAAATCTTTAATCACATTGCTCTACACTAATTCTAAAAGGCTACCAAATTTTTGTTTTAAATTGTCATCAATCAAACGCTTTTCTAATGTTTTAGGTAATTGTAATCTCACCAGACTCCTGTCCTCTATTGCACATCATAATGTAATTCACGTCATACGTATCAAAAAGATTAAGCTTCTTCGAATCAATAGTACTGCACGTATTAAATACGTTGGGTGGCATTGTAGTTGCCATCAATATAAAATAAAATTCAAACAATTGCATTTAATGCCAACATTACACCAGTTTGCATCAAGTAATTGTTGCTTCTGAATTGTATGTACACAGTTGTTATTAAATTTCAGGTTATGTCTGACTATTTGAATCTAGAAATACATTGCATATCAATATGAGAAGAACACAAAAGAATAAAAATAACAACAACTTTATTTATAGTGTAGCTTCGTTTTTAAATTTTACAATATTTTAAATTGTAATTCAATTCACGTAAATATAAAATATTATAAATAAAATTTATAGTATACATGTCAATGCATGAATACTCGTACATTCACTTCTGAGTGTACACAAGTGTATGGTTAGCAATTAAAATTTGGACCAGCGGATTTGCAAACGGAGTAACTCTTCAACCGACAAATTGGGACGGTCACGTGTGACGTAAGAGGCAAACTCAACCGAAAGACTTCAAATCTCGGCACAACAAATAGTTCAGCCGGTACTCTAAGCCAACGCGCGCCTAGTTAGTGCGACGCACAATGACAAAAAACCGCTGATTATTTGCGCGCACACGAGTCGGCACGTGCCGTAACCATCATTGATACTAACAACTAACGAATGATCGCCGCCGTGGGGTCTTCATTTGCGACTTACACGTCACAGTACGTGCGAAAACCACTAACGAGCCTTAAAATATAATAACCACATATAGAAACATTCCAGTTTCACTCATCCGCCAGATTAAAAAATGGATGCCCAAACGATTTCATGACGAGAAAAACTATCAAATGACAAATGCAATAAAACGACGGTCTTCGGGGAGGGTGCGTTTCAATTTCGATTTTCGTCGTTCTTGTTGTCATCAACGTGGAGTGTATCTATAAAAGAACCAGCCCACGGTTGCCGTCGGGTTGTCATTAGAATAAAACGGTTAGGTTTAAGCTGCATGTAATTGTCATCCGAGAGAGGGTTGAGAGAGGACAAAGGCCTCTGGTTCGCGCAACCTCAATGCCTTTAAATCAATATTGCGAAAGATGTATTGCCCAGCATACATGATGTGTGTATGTAATTTTCTAGGTTTCCGAACATGTCATTAAGTGTATGGCTTTCTTCTAAATTAATTAAAATTTTAAATTTCTTATTATTGCGTGCAGGTTGTGAACTTGTCCCCTCAAATATGTATTTATGCAGCTTTTTTTCCTGCTACGCATATATAAATAATATTGTAGTGACAGCTGCTCCAAGAAAAATGACACAATACACAATTCGCTACCACCTGTGATTAACCGAAAGGGTTTTAATGATTTAACTACGGAATCAGATTCGTTTAATTTGCACACAGTCATGTTTCCATTTGCTTCCATTTTTAACGACTAGTCGTTCCTCAAGGGTTAGTTAGTTAGCGAGCTAACGCGACTCGTGTGCGTTATAAATTGGCATTTTTATTCAACACTCAAGCTATAATACAAATTGCACCCCACTCGCAATGAAGAAAAAAAAAACGAGCAACACGCCCACTCGCTTAATGGTATTGCAATCAACTTGGGCACCATGCGGAAACGTAGCATTAACATCGGGCACAATGAGGTCTAAAACTAGAATTTTTATATTTAATTCATTGCATAATCATAGGAGTATATTTCATAATCTTAACGAAACGAAAAAAATATTGTGCGCGTTAAAAGCGCAGTTCTGGCGTCGTGGATTGTTCAAAACTTGTTAATGTCGACGAAATGCATGCGAAATAGTTGTATGAAACGTACACACTGAGTGTGAGTTCCTCGGTTGTGTGAATATGAAGTAAAGCCCGCGTGCAAAAGCACAAAGCACTCGTGCGAGCCGTCGAAAATTTGCGGAAACGAAAATCGCAAAAAGAGGGGACGACCGAATAAACGAAGACAATTAAAATGGTGAGCAGTATGGCGGCGGCGACGGCGGCTTCAGTGCCGAGCGAGTTTCGTGAGCGTTGTTGGCTGCATTTCGGATCTCGTAGCTCGCTCCATCCCGAAGGCAGCGCCCGCCCCCAGACCGTTTTCGCATGCACGCAGCATCGTTGCGCCGGCCGGCGTGACGGTGGCGGCGGCAGCGGCGGCGGCGTCGCCGCCGCGTCGGTCCTGTGTGTGCGTGGCGCGCTCGCAAAGGAAAAATCAACAACACGCTAAACAGCAGCGACGAGAGAAAATTAGATTCGAGTTCAAAGGCGGCTCTTCTCTCGAATTATGAAAACACCTCGAGTCCCTTTGAGGAAGCGCGCGATATGCAAACGACTAGGATAATTAGTATAATGGCAGCCACTTCAATACCTGACATCCTGGCCTAATTTAGATACTTCTGTTTTTATAAGAGCCAAAGAAAAGAAGCATCGCTAACAAGCCCCTTGGATATCTTCGACGAATATTCGGATTTCTTCAAGAAGAAACAACACGCGAAATTTATTACGAGGCGTCGAAATATGGCGTTACCACCGATAAGGTGATGGCCGCAGTCCGCTTATATTAATTGCTTTTATCTATCTAGACAAATATTTCAGCTGCAAGGCGAATCTATCAGCGCCGCCTTCTTCATTTCGCCGCTCCATCGTCCTTGACTTGGCTGGTGTGCTGGGCTGTTGAAGCGTTCCGGCTTAATCGAATAGACGGATACTAAGTGCACACATAAATACAGTAGGTCGGCGCGTTGCTCTCTACATGGTTTCTGCATTAGCGAGCGTCTCCTATATAAGGATGCACATTACAACGGGTATACGACGCACACTTAATTACATTACGAGGAAGCAAGCGAGCGCAGGCGAATGGCGACTTGCAATTTTGCGACATTATGTTTCCACACAGCAGGACGTTTCCATAGGTTTTCATCGCATTACAAGCTGTGCAAGTGCATGCCGCACGCCAGTCATTTAAATATTACGTGTAAACATGCCGCCGACAAAAGTTTGCCAACAATAAAATCACGTATTGTTTTGTCTAAAACATTTCAATCAAATTAAACTTCCAGTGCTGCAAAGTGTAATAAAGGCGATGAGTTTTTTTTCCCCGCCATGCTGCGAATCACAATGACAATACCAACAGATTTCTAACACAGTGATGATGATGAAAACGGTGTAACAAAGTGAACAGTCAATAATATTGGACCCCCGTGCGTGTGCATTAGAGTTATGAAATGTTCGGGAGGCATCCAAGGTACATTAGCTTTGCTGAATCGTCGCGCTGCCATTTATTGGACGCGATTGCATTATTATATTTTCGAGCTCCTTCAGGACGACGTCCCATATTATCCTTTCTGCATCATCACTGCTGCTCAATTTACAAATTGCTATATTAAATATTTTCAGGTGACCCTATCTATTCAGAACGGTTCGTTCGGATCAACAAGTCCCATTCAAGGGTATTGTGCGTAGCGGACGGCGCGGAATCGGGAGTCTATTGTGCAACGATACCCTCTCGGTGGATTTGCCATCGATGGCTTGCAGGGGGCCATTGTAATTTGGCACTAAACTTTATATTCGACAATATTGTATAGAAAAGTACACAAAGCTCAGAAGAAGACAACCAGAATGACATATCGACGGCATATACATACACGTATAACTACATTTTGATGACGATAAAGGGACGACGATATAAAAGACCCATTCAAAAAAAAATCCATCAATTTCGTCTCCAGACTTCAATAAATATTAATTCGGCAGATTATATTCCAACAGTGATTGAAAAAAATACAAATATAGATTTTATTTGAATTCTGTGGTTTATTAATTTGTTTTGCCTCTGATTGGATGTGCACAGAACGATTCCACGTGCTCACCACATTGTTATTTGTACTCGGCAAGGTATGAATTAAGTCAAGCGTTCGCAACCGCATCTGAAACGCGACGCGAGCTGAAACAAAGAAACCAGGGATGTGGCGTAGCGTCTGCGACGTTGCAGTCAACAATAACAGTCACGTACGTATACGCATCCAATTAGCGGCTAATTGATATGCTATATTGCCGTTATGTAAGGCGTACGTCTGCTGATGCCGCAATTGGCACACGCGAATCGGCCGACTTTAAATGAACGCAGGTACTCAGTTACAACTGCTAAAGGGCGAATAAATCTAGAAACCTTTTGATCGCTCCCCGAGCCTCAAACTACCATTGAACTGCCATACGAATATTACGGGCTTGGAAATTAATCGCAATAATTACGCAGCGTCTGATTAATGACAACTTTGACTTATTATCGAACTAAACGTCTACGTTTTTTTTCTGCTAGAAATCTTGCATGCAAAATTAAAGTACATATGTATAGTATAAGAGTACACTGTCCACCACCATCACCAACATAATGTTATGTTGGTTGCTTGCGATTATTTTTGATTAATTTTGATTAAGAGCTACAATGAAAACTATGACCATCACCATTTTAGTCGCAATTATTTGTGCACATAATGGTGTGCTGTATGTAGCTGATTTGGCTGATTGACAAATACCTGTGGTGGCCAGCAGACGTCTCCATTCGGCAGGACTGATAGCGGCATTGCGTCCATACTCACCCATCGAACCCGCCTTCCCGTCCAGCTGATATGGCGGGATTCCCATGTGTGCCGGCGGCGGTTGCGACAATGGATCTCCGTTGTGACAGAAGAACGGCAATCCAGCGCCCGGATGTCCTGTCGGACCGAGTCCCATTTTTCCTGCCTGAAAAGCAAACAACAAAAAAATATTAATACAACGTTCGTCATCATCAACACACGAAAACTGCAATCTTTTGTGCCCGGCTTGGTTTTGTTCGAATTGGTTTCGCCGAAATTCTTGACGCGCGCGCATGTCCAAGCCTGAAATCCTGTTCCGCTCGGGTGAAAATTGTTGAAGTTATATTTAGTTAAGTTGAATTCGATGTTGTGTCCTATAGTAGGCGCTGGCATATATTTGTATTGTGTGTTTGTTTTTTCCACGGCAAACGCGCTAACCTTACAGATATAAACAGTGATATTAGTGTCATTTCACTTACAGTCATTGTGGCAATAAATTGTCGTTATTAAAACTTGAGCTTGTGTTTTTTCTTTAACTAGAAAAAACTCAATAGGTTTAGAAAAACCTCAATAGGTTATGGGCCCAGATAACGCTAGTAGCTCAAGGATATAGTAAAGACAAGAGGGTGCAAAGAAAAAAAGTTTTTTCTTGTGCAATTGTTGCTGAATTTTTCTGTTTTGTGTGGAGTGTCGTCAACGCAGCATTATAAAAAAAAAAAAAAATGGATTTGGCGAAACATACGAGTATAAGACCCCTGGCTGGAGAAGTGGATTGGCCCATTTGGAAAAGAAAGTTGCGTGATATGTTGGACTATCATGAAGGCGCCGTTGACGTCATTGAGGGAGGTTAAGCAAACCTGAGCCCATATCAGCTATGGCTACGGAGGAGGAAGTCAAAACGCATAAGAAGGCGTGTGAGCTTTTCGTAAGGCAAATAGTTATGCAAAATCAATGATTTCTAGTTCGGTGACGGACGCAGTTTACCAGAAAATTATGGACAAGGAGACAGCGTTTGCAGCATGGGAGGCATTAAAACTAAATTTTGAAGCGTCATCCAAAGATCAGCTCTACAAGAAATGCACTGATTTGTTTGGATTTTGTTGGATCAATGGAGAGGACGTTTCATTTCAGGTGGCAAAGTTAAGAAGTCTGTGGAATGAGCTGAATAATGGTTTAAAGTCCAAGAATTTGGCTGCATTACTAGACTTGATACTGGTGTGTAAAATTTTTCATATTTTACCAAGTAACTTTGAAAATTTCAAGTCTAGCTGGTTGCTATTATCAAAAGACGATGATAAGACAGTTGAAGAGTTAATAGCACAACTATGCATGTACGAACGAAATTTCAAAGAGGTCACGGTCACAGAAGATGCTCCCGGAGATGCGTTATTTGCAAGAAGTGCAAAAATCAAACCTATTAGAAAGTCCAGGAAAAATGACAGTTGTTATTATTGCAAGAAAAAAGGGCATTGGATGACACAGTGTCAGAAGTGGATTTCTGATGGACGACCGAAGAAGAGTAATCCTCAGAACAACACTGTGTGTACCAATGTAGCCTTAAGTATCACCGATGAAGACATGCTTCAAATGGATACCAGTTCATTGGAAGATTTAGGATGGTGGATCGACAATGGAGCGACGAAGCACGTGACTAGCTGTCCGGATCAGTTCGTTGAGTTCCAAGAGTTTGTAGGTCCTCGCATCATCAAGGCTGCTGGAAAAGAAACCCTTAAGGCCGTTGGCAAAGGGACCGTAGAAATTTTATCCTTTACTGAAGTTGCCACCTTGAAATTATCCTTGACTGATGTTTGGTATGTGCCAGGAATTTCTAGAAACTTATTTTCCGTTCTAGCTGCCCAAGACAAAAATGAAAATAGCAGATTTCATTCAACCGCAACTGAGTGCTGGCTAGAAGTAAATAACAAAGTAGTGCTGTGCGGAAATCGAGAAAAGGGTGGAACTCTGTTCAAGGCAGCCATTGAACCAGTAATTTTGGAAGAGAAGAAAGGGTAAATATCTCAGAAGCAGAAAGCTCGACACTGCAATTGTATCACGAGAGATGGGGTCACCAGGATAAGCGACATGTAAAGGAGATGCTCAAAAGAGAGTTGGACATCAATGTGAAGCTAGTCAAAGAGATTTGTGAGCCTTGTATTTTTGGCAAAACACATCGTCTACCTTTTGGCACCAGAGTGACAGCAACGAAACCTGGAGAATTGGTTTCAGCTGATATTGTAGGTCCATTTTGCGAATCTTTAGCAAAAACGTTTTTAGTTATGTTTAAAGACAGTTTTACTAAGTTTCGCAGCGGGTATGTGATTAAACACAAATCAGATGTTAAGGTTGTGTTAAAGCAGTTTTTGGCACAGTCGAAGACACTTGGACACAATATTCGAGAGCTACTCAGTGACAATGGAGGGGAATTTGACTGTGTAGAAGTCAGGAGGATTCTAGCAGAGAGTGGAATCGTGCAGAAACTGACAGCACCATACACCCCAGAACAGAATGGTGGGAGTGAACGTGATAATCGTACGGTTGTTGAGATGGCAAGAACATTTAAGTACTCAAATCGCGAAGTTGAGTTTCCAGATGCAATATGGGCAGAGCTGGTAACTACGGCGATTTACGTACTAAATCGGACAGGTAAATCATCAAAGAAGGGAGTTAGTCCTTACGAGTTGTGGTTCGGGAAGAAACCTAGAATTAAACATCTGCGTATTGTTGGTTCATTCTGCTATGTTCATGTACCGACTGAGAAGAGGAAGAAAATGGACAAGAAGGCAGTGAAAGGAATCCTGGTCGGATATGATGGTGATGAGCGTTACAGAATTTATCTTCAAAGTAATCATCATGTTATTACGTCAAGAGATGTTCAGTTCGAAGAGAGACTGAAAGAATGTGACAGTAAAGTTGATTTATCATTGAGAAACATTGAATATGAAAGTCAAGGTAAGATCAAAAAACATGACGATAGTGATGAGGATGTGATCGAAGAAGAAGAAAAGGATTATGAGTCATCAGTTGACATTGAAGATAAGATTGAGACCAGTAACAGGAAAATACTAAGAGATCGTTTGACTCTGAAGAAGCCCCAGCATTTTGATGCTAACGCCATGACAATAGATCAGTTCGTGAATCTAATGACTAAAGATCCTGAGACCTTTGAAGATGCCTTGAGGAGTGAGAACTCAGCTCAGTGGGAGAAAGCCATGGATTGTGAAATTGCTTCTTTGAAAGAAAATAAGACCTGGATTTTGATAGATCTTCCACCAGGTGCAAAGGCAATTCCATGCAAGTGGGTTTTCCGGCTGAAAAATCATCCAGACGGGAGTATTGACAAGTTCAAAGCAAGACTTGTAATCAAGGGATTCAGTCAGCGTTACGGGATTGATTATAGTGAGACTTTTAGTCCAGTGGCAAAGTTGGGAACCATTCGTTCGGTTCTCAGTATTGCAGCAAGTGAGAAAATGTGTCTGACACAATTTGACGTGTCGACAGCCTTCTTGTACGGAGACCTTGAGGAAACAGTCTACATGAAGCAACCAGAAGGATATGAGGATGGTTCCAACAAGGTTTGCTTACTGAAAAAGAGTTTATATGGACTGAAGCAAGCACCTAGATGTTGGAACAAGCGTATTGGAGTTTTTCTTCAACAACATGGATTCAAGGCCAGCGAAGCTGATCCGTGTTTGTATATTAGGGAAAGAAATGGTAAGAAGCTCATACTTGTGATCTATGTTGATGATGGTCTTCTAGCAACGACCGATCAGCAAGATTCAGACGACTTCATTAAAGAATTAAAGTCGGAATTCAAGATTGTTTCGAGAAGAGCTAATTTTTTCTTGGGTCTAGAAATTGCTCAAGAAGAGAAGTGCATTAGGATTAGCCAAAAGGCTTATGCAAAGAAAATTCTACAGAGATTCAATTTCTTAGATTGCAAACCAGTGTCAACTCCTATGTCCAAAGGGACAGAGACTTTAGGATTAGGGAAAGTTGATGAATTCATCACATTTCCTTATAGACAGGCAGTTGGAGCCCTGATGTACCTGATGCTTGGAACAAGACCAGACTTGGCCTACAGTGTAGGATTCATTTCGAGGACACTCGAAAATCCAACTCAAGAGAGCGTTGTACGAGTCAAGAGAATTTTTCGGTACATAGCAGGTACTCTAGACTTTGGAATAACCTATCGAAGCAATAAAGAAGTGGGAGTATTAGAAGTTTACA